GGACGAGAAGCCAAAGCCGAAGGACACGGAGAAGCCAAAGCCGAAGGACACGGAGAAGCCAAAGCCCAAGGAGACGGAGAAGCCAAAGCCCAAGGACTCGGAGAAGCCAAAGCCCAAGGACTCGGAGAAGCCAAAGCCCAAGGACACGGAGAAGCCAAAGCCCAAGGACTCGGAGAAGCCAGAGCCCAAGGACTCGGAGAAGCCAAAGCCGAAGGACGAGAAGCCGAAGCCCAAGGACACGGAGAAGTCTAAGCCGAAGGACACGGAGAAGCCAAAGCCACAGGACTCGGAGAAGCCAAAGCCCAAGGACGAGAAGCCGAAGCCGAAGGACACGGAGAAGCCAAAGCCCAAGGAGACGGAGAAGCCAAAGCCCAAGGACGAGAAGCCAAAGCCGAAGGACGAGAAGCCAAAGCCCAAGGACACGGAGAAGTCAAAGTCGAAGGACGAGAAGCCACAGCCCAAGGACTCGGAGAAGCCAAAGCCCAAGGACGAGAAGCCAAAGCCGAACGACACGGAGAAGCCAAAGCCCAAGGAGACGGACAAGCCAAAGCCCAAGGACGACAAGCCAAAGCCGAAGGACACGGAGAAGCCAAAGCCCAAGGAGACGGAGGATCCAAAGCCGAAGATCGAGAAGCCAAAGCCGAAGGATACGGAGAAGCTAAAGCCTAAGGACACGGAGGAGCCAAAGCCGAAGAACGAGAAGCCAAAGCCAAAGGACACGGAGAAGCCAAAGGCAAAGGACACGGAGGAGCCAAAGACGAAGCGCAAGGCTGATCCGGCGCCAATCGAGAGGCGTGTGCGCCAGAAGTCTTCGCCCCGCAAGGCCCGTGGGTGTATAAGGTTGAGGCTTTAATGGGTCCACATCATGTCCATCTTTAGCGATCGCATATATAATTTAAGTTTTGTTAATATTATAATACCTGTATATATATGCCTGCGAGGTTATGTTTATAGGTATATCCTTGTAACGTGGATCAATCTACGTTCGCTTTGCATATCCAATAGCTACCGCCCTGATCCAAGCCATCCCGAACAACGTGTGCATGTACGTCAATTTCCATATTTGTGGTCACTGTATAGTTCGAACCAGGGAACCCTAGCTAATCCATAATTAAAGTTACTCTCCCCAGTATATACCAGCCCGACCCATCCCGAAAAATGTGTGCATGTGCAAGAGCTATTCTGATCATCGATCGTCGATATGTCGGAGCCTTAAATATAACCCCGCTTAAGCATTCCCCTCAAAACACACTTCCTAAGCGAACATCCCGCTAGAAGGACGAAACCCTAAACCCAGAGCCAAATCGAGACGAAGTGTACCAATACGCCCATAACAGTAATTTAATAATACAGTCGCGATGTGTATACAAATTTGTTTGGAAAGCACGAGATATCGAGATCCTTCTTGGGGCGGACTGTGGCATGCAGTAGAAACTAGCAACGCTGTCTGGGTATATATTGCCTGGTGAGACTCGGTATCCTACTGCGGTATATTGCATGCATGCATGTATAGATCCTCATTATTAATCTAAGCTGGCACGGTCCTTATATATACTTGTTCCCTAGTAGTGGAAACCGAAATGCCGCGGCTATATATATATATATATATATATATACATATATATATATATAATATATATATATATATATATATATATACTTTCTAGGAAACTACCATGCATGTTCGATCCATGCCATCCCCAATAACGTGTGTACGGTGCTGTCTGGGTCCTATAAGATAGGTCTTGCCTAGTGAAAACCGATGTCCTGCTGCTGTATACTTTCTCAGGAAGTAACACTTGGAAGCCATCCCGAACATGTGTAGATCACCACAAACTAGCACATTGACAATGCTGTCTGGGTCCTAGGAATTGCCTAGTGAAAACAGATGTCCTGCTGCTGTATACTTTCTCAGGAAGTAACACTTGGAAACCATCCCGAACATGTGTAGATCACCACGAAGTAGCACATTGACAATGCTGTCTGGGTCCTAGGAATTGCCCAGCGAAAACTGATATCCTGCTGTTGTATACTTTCAGAGGAAATAACACTTAGAAGCCATCCCCAAGGTGTCTAGATCAACACAAACTACCACATGGACAATGCTGTCTTTTCCTAGGAGTGGCCTAGTGGAAACCGATATCCTGCTAGGTGTGTAGTTCCCGAGGAAGTAGCACTTGGAAGCCATTCCTAACATGTGTGAGATGAAGATCCACAAATCGAGAAGTGTACCCCAGAATCGACGTAGTCGTGAATGCCAACAGTGCTATCTCTGACTATACACTATGTCCATCATGGCTCCAGAAATTGGCCATTGGCATGCATGTGCTGCGGTGTGATCTGTTAATTGGAAACCACGAGACGTTCTTGCGGCATGTGGTATTAAATTCGTGAACAATATATTATATATATAGGGGTTCTGGCTCAGGCTTCCGAGTCCATGTGGGGATTTCCCAGAATAGGGGAGCATAGTACCCTAAATAGTGGGATCCTTCTTATAGACATCCGTAAATCATGCAGGTGCCCCAAATTTTCCGAAATGTTAGACCATAAACCCTACACCCTTTATTATGGAACCCCACCCTAATTATCGATCCTTTGAAATATTTATAGTTCAGCGCCTCCAATCGGTGCATGTCCCACATCGTGCAGTGGCTCGGTCGACTTCATGCCTTGGATTTATATAGGCTGGGTTATTATGTATGACATGGGCTTCTTGAGAGTTTGGCTGTACCAGGGCATAGGCACTCAAGGGTTTGGGATGCAGGGGCTCAATGGTTTTTGTGTATAGGCAACGATCGAGGGCATTAGGGTGCAGGGATTCAATTAAGGTTTGGGTGATAAGATCAGAGGTGTAATGAATCAAAGCTTAAGGTCGAGAGAGATTTGGGGTGAGCGTTTAGACCCTGGAGGGTGCCGGGGCATTCATACAACCGGGGTGCAAGTCTATCGAAACCTTGCCAATTCAAGCTTGTCGGAGCTTGGGGGCTCTGGGCCCTGAAATATGCCAGAGGTACTTTGAGATGAGAGAGCGAGATATACAATAAAGGGTTGCAGGGTAACAATTATGATTAGTTCATCCCCTGCAGGGGCTTCAGGGTTTTAGACTTTGAGGATTAGGATTTAGGGTTTTGGGTTTTAGGGTTTAGGGCTTTAGGGTTTGAGGGTTTCAGGGTACGGGCTTCGGGTTTAGGATTCTAGCGATTAAGCCTTTAGGGTTTAGGGTGCAGTGCCGATCTTATCAGACCGGTCATTATGCTTCAGGGGTTTTGGCTTTGAGGGTTAGGATTCAGGGCTTTGTGTTTAAGGCTTTAGGGCTTTAAAATTTGAGGGTTCCAGGGTACGGGTTTCGGGTTTAGGATTCTAGGCTTTAGGACATTAGGGTTTAGGGTGCAGTGTCGATCTTATCAGACCGGTCATAAGCTCCCGGATAGCCTGCATGCTCGGTGCAGGATGATGAAGGATCGGCCAAGACCCCCCAGGAGGCGAGCGCGGCCGTCGTGGCAGGAGTCTGGGATTGCACTATATATATATATAATTATACTAGCATGCTGGCTGCAGCCGATGTTCCCGATTAACATGTCCTTTCGACAAAGCCCGGACATGTATGCATAAGCCGTGGACTATGAACCCCCCCTATATATATATATATATATATATATATATATACATATATAGCCGCCTAAACCCTAGACTCAAACACCCCCTATATGAAAAGTCGCCCTAACCCCTATCCGAGACCAAACCCAAAGCCTATAATTCCTAGCAGCTATAGACTCGATCCTAGACCCTAAATTTTAAACCTGCGGCGCAGGGACAGCCGCCTAAACCAAGACACCAAACCTACATAAAAAGTCGCCCATAACCCCTATCCCAAATCAAACTCTAAACCTAAGATTCCTAGCGGTGCAAGGACAGCCGCCTAAACCTAGACCCCAAACAGCTATGAACCCGGGCCTATATAACCTCGAAACCCAACAAACCCCAAATAGCTTTAAATAAATAGTCCGCCCAAAAATGTATCCCGCAGCCACGAATCAAACCTGACCTCAAAAAAGTAGACCGCCCGAACAAGTAGACCGCAGCCCCGAAACGGAGGACTTAAGGTATATACATGAGCCCGTAATTGCATGCATGTGCTCCCTCTCAGGAAATTCAGATCCGGGAGATGTGCAGTCAAGACCCAAAAACCAGCGGCTCCGAGTCATGACGCCAGAGCAGAAGGAGCAGCTTGAGGCGATGCAGAAGCCCTCGGAGCCTTGGGTCGTATGGTATATGCATGCATGCAGATCTTTTTTTTTTGATAGCATTGCACCATTAGCCAAGGATATGCCCCGGGATGAGCGAAAGAGGGGCTTCTCCTGGTTGAACCGCCAGTGCAAAGTTAACCCGGAGATGGCAGCTAAGTTCAAGCTCCTGACCGATGAAACTGCCAAGTGACTTGTCTCATCGTGAACCCATGCGATATGCCCGTGAGACGGGACACATAAGATCTAGTGCATTGACACCCACTACAAAACCATACAGGGCCCATAGCGACCCCATAGCTGCCTGGATGTTAAAACCAGAGCCGATCCAGAATACAGATGAAACTAGATCGTTATTAAATCATGCACCCGATAGTATATCGTATCTATGTACCTTCGAGGCCTTCACTGGATCCTAAACACCTAAACCTACCCCCGGCCCGAAACCCTAACCCCCAACGCTTATTGATCTGTGAAGCCCTTACCGTCGAAGCCACCCCCCCAACAAAAAAAAAGAAACCCTCGAATCCCGATCGATCGATATACAGTATGAAATTAGTCTTGGGAACTGCATGCTGTGCTGAAAACAACAGATCTTAATGACCGAATAATACATCCTGCTATGCGAGCATGCAGCTACCACAATGAAATACATATATATATATATATATATATATACATTAAACCCATCCTTTAAATATGCGGATTTCCAATCCCGTATTAAATCAAACCCCAAGACTCCTGACTGCAGCTATGAGGTTCAACTTCTTGAAGGAGGAGCTCCTTCGCGAGGGTGGGCTGGATGTGCAGACTTCGCAAAAGTACAAGGATGAGTCTCTGGACGAGAACAAAGACCGTTACAGAACGGATCCTGGAATGCAGCAATTTAACCACATACCCTAAACCCCGAACCTTAAACCCTACACCCTAATCCCGAACCCTAATCCCGAAACCCTAGTCCCGAACCCTAAACCTTAAACCCTTAACCCCAAAACCCTAAACCCCTGACCCTAAACCCTATATAATTATATATTCCTAAACATATATATATATATATATGCATACCTCGTCAAACGATCGAGGTGACGATGATGCAGCTGCGCAAGGAGTTCCCGGGAGAGGATGGTGAGGAGTTCATCAAGATCATTACGGCAGGTGCTTTGCCTTTAAGAGTCGTGCAGTGGACTTTGTATTGTGATGTCGCAGAGCCCTAAACACCTAAGCCTAAATCCCTATGTGTGTTTGCCCTGGTTCTGCTGCAGGACAAGAAGGAATTCCACACCCCCAAGCTCCAAACTTCGAGCCTGCTAAGCGCTACAGAGTCTTGAAAGACACGATGAACGATCGTGGCAAGGTTCGAAGCAGTCAGACTGAGGCCGGATAGTTTTTTGCAGTACTTCTTATATCCAAAGCCTCTGCACACCCCGAGTCCTACGCTCAAAGATCCCAAAGCGAGTCCAAGCTTTAGCTACTACAATATCCCATAGCTCAAACATCCCTTAAGCGCAGGCCCCATATTTCCTGTCCCAAGTCCCAGCATCCTGGCAGATCGAGATGAGTGGTGTGGTCGCCGACGGTGACCGCGCGTCCTTGGAGCCCGCTCTGACGGATTTTGCTGAGACGCTGGGCAAGTCGATGGGCTCTTTCGAGGAACTGCGAATCAAGCCCAAGAAACAGGCCAAGGTAACTTGATTTGCATTATATGGAAAGCTCAAGACCTATATCCTTTCAAGTCGTTTCCCAAGGCCACAAACACTAAGCTGTGACTGTCGCAAGCCTGAACCCTCGAAGCCCCAGGTCTTGACCCCGGAAGAGCAAGCCGACAAGAAACTGCAGAAGATCTTCAAAGGGTGCTCTGGCCACTATTCAATACCAGGGATTTATTAAAATGTATATATACATATATATATATATATATGCATAGGGTAGTTCAATTTTCTAGGGGTCCAGGATTTAAGTTGCAGGGTTTAGTGTTTTGGATGATGGGCCGGGTTTTGGAGTCGAGGCTCGTCACTGCAGAGAAGAAGCTGATGACTTTGGTCGAGGAGCTGAAATCTGTGCCCTACTCGGAGGAGCTCCGGCAGGTTTTGACGAAGTATGTGGATGATGTGAAAGTGATGCCGAGCGAGTGGGATAAGAAGATTCATCCTGCGAGCAGCTTGGAAGACAAGCTCTCTGCAATCAGCCTCCTCGAGGAGGATCTAAAGCCTATCAACGAAGGGATGCGAGAGGCCCGTCGGCGGATCGGCAAGGCACCAAAGCAAAGCTCAGACGCCGAAACAGATTAAAGGCAACTCAGGTGCAATGGTATAGATTTTCAAGGGCGATCTTTCTAAGCCCCATTCCACTAGACAGTACTCCCGATCGGGACAATTCCTATAAACATCCGATCGAGACAATTCCTATGTAGAATCATCAGATGTACTAGCAAACCCTACACTAAACACGATAGTCCACCCACGTGTATCCCTTAATTTCCCCAACGATCCTTGCAGGCACGTGTCTGCTGGGGCCTGGATGGGCCCTACCGCGTGGGCTTCTGGTGCCTGGGTCCTTTGCGCGGACTTCTGGGTAAACTAATTTGGGATTGACCTGTGGGGTTAGGGGGTCTACAGATCATCTGGACTTACCGGGTTGTCAAATGAAGACTGAATATAAGAGAGCCGAGTGTTATATAGGGTTACAGGGGGCCAATGCAGGAGTGTACGCATGTAGAGAGTAAGCACCGTTGACCCGATATGAAGTTAGACCGCATTGCTCGATACAGCGGACTGACACCCTCCGAAAACGATCTAACTAATTCCAAAGCCCCACACTCCCAAGTCCAACTCCTCAATTAATGTATATATATATATATATATATGTGTGTGTGTGTGCAACAATTAAGCCGGAATTGAGCGACAACCCCCACGGTACCACGCTGCTGCTAAGCATCCTAATCTGCAGAACAGCATAACTCGGATACATATAACAATTAAACTAAATAAATAAATATATATAATATATATATATATATATATATATATATATATATTTTTATAATTATACTATATAAATATGTACTGCCTGTGTACACACACACAGAGTCATTGTCGCTCTCTCTCTCTATATATATATATGTATATATGCGTATTCGATCTAAGGTATGGCCCACGGATGCTCCTCGATCACCTTTCGATCTGGATCGATGGCTGGCCGGTGTCACGTCTGCAGTACCTTAGGGGCATCACGTGTGCTCCAATGCAGTTTTGGTTTTCGCCCAAACCCCTTGAACCCTAATTTTAAATTAAGCCTCATGCCCTAATGTTAACCCCTACCGCCGTATATTGTGCATTAAACCCTAGTGTTTTAGCGCAGGATCAGAACTTCGATATCTTGCGCCGCAAGTGCACTGTGCTTTTGGCACCACAAAAGTTAATTAATTGAGAGGAAGTTGCACGACCTAATTGGATGTGTGCATGTGGACGCTTACCATATTCCTAGTGGAACAGACCGGCTATGAAGAGCTGCTAGCAATAAGGGAATCGGGCGGCTCGAGGTTTGATCCTCGGCCTCGTGTCTGCATGCATTCAATATGCACTCAATTAGCTCAAGTCTGATCGGATTGCTGAGGCGTGCAAGGTTTGGAGGGGTAGGATATGCCAATGTTATTCGGTCTTATATTCATGTATATATATATATATATATAAATATATAAATATTATAGCTACAAGCCGATCAGATGTCTGGGCCGGTGTTTTGAGGACACTGCACGGACTCTGCAGTCATGGCTGTTGGGTTGCTATCCAGGAGTTTAAGGCTCGATCGTATAGGGTGCATGATCTTCTATAGGCTATCGGCCTAACTCAAATACAAACTCCTGGTCGGCATATCCCCGGGGCCTGTGGAACCTATCCATAGGCTTCTGACTGAGCAGTCTGGGTGTTGTTATGCGAATAACTCTGCAATCGTGGCTGTTGGCATGCCATCCCAGGCTAGCTAGCTCGATCTGGTCTAGAGCATTACGTTTACTTAATTAACCTGAAGGTTGCCCTATAGGCTGGAATATTTACTTCAATCATGCCCCTGGCCGCCATGTCTCCAGCACCGGTGAAGCGCTTCACCGAGGATCGCAGTCGTGGTGAAATGACCTTTGCGGATTAGGGCATGTTACAGACTGCTGGATGTCTGTTGGGATGAGTATGCCTGCATGTCTTAGCACAGAGCTCCCCGCATGCAGCTTTTCAGGAGCAGGGATCCAAATCAATTCCCGTGGACTAAATATACAAGCTTTCATGGACAGCTGGCCATATGCATGTGCACCTTCTAGCTGACAATAGTTCGCAAGCTTAGAGTCCCCACCGCTACATATATATATATATAGGAACATTCATGAAACTAGGCTTATCAAACCTCGCACTACAGAAGTCGTTCCTGTACAGCTGAAGTGCCAGAGTCTGTTAGACAGGTAGAGCGAAAATCACAGCCAAATCCCTGCGCCCTGGTGAACATGGATCCGTATCACTCCCGTCTAACATGTGTAACTTTCCCCTATCTGATGACATGGGAATATCTCACAATAAAGCACCAGACCCAACACCCGGAAGCCCATGTGTACCCCTATAGACAAACCCTGATGAGAGCTTAAACCCTTAAATCCTCTATATATATATATATCCTAGCCCGAACCCTCAAAGCAATAGCATGAAGAACTGCATGCATAGGAGGATAAGCCTTAGTTCTAAAATCCTATAGACCCCGAACCCCCTCGTCATCATGGACTTGGTGGAAGAATTGTTGGAGCTGTCCGAGCATTTGACGACGCGGAAGATAAAGCAAGTATGCGACAAAATAGCCGGTCGCATTCCTCATTTGATGCTCCCGTGACCGGAACGCAAAGATGTGTGTGTGTGTGCTGGTTTGCTCGGTGGGAAGTCCAGATTTTAGTTTGAGGCGAATCTTTAGTGCGTCCTGGCCGAGGCGCAATCTCGTCGATCTTGCTTCGTATGAAGATGATAGGAATGTATATCGCAATTTCCAGCGCTGGGTGCAGCGGCAACCCTGGCGGAAAGGCCTTCCGGAGCCCAGGGAGAATCCCGGTTTCATGGAAGAATATATATATCTAGTATAAAAATATATATATATATGTATATATATATATATATATATATATATATATATACAGTCGACATGTCGACCTGCATGTATATATATATATATATGATCCGGGGGCAGTTAGAATATTCAGCTTTTATAGCAGCGGTATTAGTCGCCGTGGCTGGGTCTGGAGGTTTAATTTGAGGGATTGCATGGTTTGGAGTTATATGCAAAATTTAACATGCTCATTAATTGATGTGCTTTGCAAGAGGCTTCAGATTCGGTCTTGTCGCGCTGTATGTTAACCGAAGCTATATATTCCAAACCGGTATTCGACCTCGAAATTTCTACGGACCCTGCACCCAAAACTCTAAGCCACCAGTTTTCCTTAACTAAGATCATTAAACCCTATAGATCACCCTGGAGCTCGAGCCCTCAAAGTCTGAACCCCGGAACCATAAGGAATGCCCCGGCGAACCCTAATGAAATTACTGACCCCTATAATTTATGATCTGATCCGAACCAAGGGTGGAGGTCACACTCAAGAATCCGACCACGGCTGAATTCTATGTGGGCAAATGGCATATGCTCTATCCTCACGAGATGCCTCGCGGTCAAGCAATAATCCGCAATGTTCTTGCTAGTCGTTCCCTGCAACTGAAGCGGCACATGGCAGATCTCGTGTGCCCCACACCAGCTAAGGATACACACGATTTATCATTATTCTGAAAATCGATTCAAGAAATTTTTTCTTGGAGAAGATGGAGTGACTCGTCTGCACTATTGGTTTTGAAAGCATTCTGATCAAGACATTTCTAGGGGAACAGAGCACAAGCTAGAGCTAAACGTGGTATAGTGGTTCCCTGAATCTCGCCCTAAGCCACTGGCAAATTAACCCGTGACCCATGACCTTCCAATCCGGAGATAGCCCGGAGCAAGAGTGCCACGAGCTCCTCGATGTCGCACCTCATGCCGGTTGAGATTAATTCTTTTATATACGAGTTCTGTGTTGGGGAATGTTCCCTATAGAGGCCTCTATATAGAAAGGATCCTAAACACTAAGTCCCTTTATCCTGCCCTATATATGTGAACAGAGAAAACATCTTAAACACTGATCGAGTCCATTACCCTGCCGTACATGCGAACATACGCTCCGAGCATGCTATAAGTGAAGCAACGAAATGGCCTTGGCATGGCATGAGCCTAATCGCCCAAACCCTAATTAAGATATAATTGCGAATCCTCGCTATGTTGGACACTGCTTCCATATGAGGGGGTCCCTCTACCGCACCATGGATAATGCAAATTATGGTTGCTTGCGGGTATGCTGTATAGGCACTCAAGGGTTTGGATGCAGGGGTTCCACAGTGAGCTTCGGGTGACCAGGTCGGAGGTACACAATTTCGGTTCGAGTGATATGTTAAGGCTTAGGGTCAGGCTTCAGACCTGGAAGAGTTTGGATGCAGGGGTTCAAAGATCGGGGGTGTAAAACTTTATATCGGGCCCAAGACTTCGGATTCGATTACTATCGGAGCTTTGGAGCTGTCGGCCCTGACACAGAAGTAGAAGTAGGGTTCGGGGTTGCGGTTTACTCGGGGAGCGATGGTGTCGGGGCTAAGAAGCTTCGGGGTGGAATGCTTGAATGATAGTTGGACTGATTCCATATATATAGCCATATAACATCACAAGCCCAGGAGCTGGAGCGATTCTGGCAACATGCCAGAGGGACGGAGCCACTCGACGCTGCACTTTATATGGCTACAACCTTGCATATATATATATATATATATATATATGGGATTAGAGGCCGGGGTTGGGTTAATCTTGAGGGTTCGGGACTATGGTGCTCTATAGATATATAGATTATATATAGATCGACGCTGGGAATCTACTATGTTCAGGGTTTGCGATCGAATAGCCGTCTGGGATTCAATTCCTGATATCGATCGTGTGTATGCTTGCTTATATGGCTTACGGACTCAAGGTCGGGGTGCTATTATTTCCGGGGCTCGGGTTTTAAAATTCTCAATTCCCGGAATTAAAGCAGCAAAGTTCTCGACTCAGCGCTTCCTCATATCGATCGATCGAACTATCCGTGCTGACTTTGTTTGGCCTTAGGGTCTATATCGGGATACTGGGAACAGCATAACTGTCGAAGCTGCACTTCGAAGAGCTGATATCTATCCAATAGCTACAGGGCCCAAGTTAATACAACATATAACCATTGCCTTGCAGATCGATACTCTGCCTGTTCGGTCGCAGAAACCTGAAACGCCTTTCCTAAAACTATATGTGCATGATGTCTAGCTCTGGTACAATCCCATAATGATCATCTGCCTAAACAAAACTTCAGGGATACCATGGGCAATTAACACATTGAGGTGGTTCGAGAACCATCCGTGGCTCGCCTCGCTTTCTGATCCTGGGCGGCAAAAGGCAGCGTGGACCAGCAGCGGCTGTATCCTGGGTTATTTGCAGTATGGTTTCTTGATTTAGATCGGTTCGGGGATGTTTGATCTGAGGAAAACGAGCTGCTACGAACGGTGCCCATAGAAGTGCACGGCGATGACGCCGAAGCTCACAAGAGGCGAAGCTTTTTGTGCGTTTCTATAAGAAGCCCCATCACCCGGGGGAGCACCTACGACGTCCTGTTCCCCTGCTATGTCCTGGACAGTGACCAAACAGCCCCTGGAACCGTGACCCGGTGCTTGATTCATAATCGAAAAGCCTTCGAATAGGAAGGATGGTTGATGAGTGGATTCATGGATATAAATTGAGGTTGGGACCACATCTGTGGCCACGTAGGGCATCGTGCGGTAACATCTGTAGTTCTCAGCCAAGGCCAAGCAGCTCGATCATTACCTCGTATGGTCGTTGGCGCAGCTGGCTGCCGGCAAAACCAGCCACTACGACGCCTGGGGTCAAACGCTTCCCGGTGGAGAGGATGCTTGCGTAACTTTATGCGGAGGCTACCGATTCGTCTGGGCAGGCATGAAAGGAGATCAGCAGTGGCTGAAGAAATGCTTGCAAATCGACCAATCCTGGGTTTCGGAGCAATGCTGCTGGTATTGCAAAGCCACTGGGTCTGAAAAAATGGTATCAGCTCCTAATAAGATGTTGGGGGCAGCATGTTGTGATAAGGTTCGAAGATCCTTAATCACCTATATATAACATAGCTGGGATCGGGAATTACACTAATCACGCACATCGATCCGAAACAACTATCGAAAGGCCAACCGCCTTACCAATTCGCCACTGCTCTACACTGCGCATGGACCAGCAGCTCCGCACCGCCAAACGAATGCTTGCTGCACTATTGCTTTTGGGTCGGATTCAGGGAGTGACCTGATCCCAAGACAGGGATGGGATGGCTATAGGCCGCCGTACAAAGAAACCGAATACTAAGGATGAGAACTTTCCCCGAGTTTATCGCTCTCATCGCTCGATCTCCTTGGGCATACGTGGGCGGCGTTTCCTTATCACGAATATGGCCGGACTTGCTGCACATTTTAGACTTGGCACTGAGTCCGGAGGCAGCAGCCAGTGCCGCTGGGCCGGCATCCATAGCAATTCTAAGACTCCGGGCCTTTACATAATGATCGAACTGATTGGTTCTAGGGAAGGGGTTTAGGGTTTAGGGTTTAGGGAGCACCCTAAACCTTCCCATGTGTGAATTTCCATCTGCATGGTTGGAGTTGCATCTCGAGATCACTAGACCCTTATAATAATTCCAACCCAGGCTCTACTGGAGCTCACAGCCACTGCCGAGCAGAGCCCGTGGCCGGGCCAGACGCAACAATTGCGGCTCTCTGCCGCTTACGCTGACTTCGTGAACATGTGCCGCGCGGACAAGGTTCGTCGCACAGCTGCACATATAACGATTGAAATCTATTGTTCGAAGGGTTTCCATCCCAAGCTTTTGCTTCGTTACCGACTAGGGCCTGCCTTCAGGTTCAACGATTTGGGCTTAACATATATAGACATATATTTGCCAGCCATGCCAGGCTGCAGGTATATAAATAAATTTAGGGTTTAGGGTAATTAGGGTTTAGGGTATAGGGGTTTAGGGTTTAGGGTATAAAAAATATATATACATGCATATATATATATATATGTGAAATATCCATCTCACATATAATTTCTCTCTCTCTAAAATACCTCGGATCCTATACCCCAAGCACCCCCGTCCGAGTTCTTAAACCCGACTGTCCTATAACCCAAGAACCCCTGTCCCTAAACCCGACTGTCCTGTAACCGAAGAAACCCCCGTCCCTAAACCCGCCTGTCCTATACCCCAAGAACCCTCCTAAACCCTCCTGTCCTATACCCCAAGAACCCTATCCCTAATAGACCCTTTTTCATAGCCCAACTCAGAGCTCAGGCTCCAGAGCACCGCCGTTTCAGCTGGATGCGATCAAGGGGAACAAGAAGAAACTGAAGTTTCCCACGTTCGCTCAGAAACATCTGAGCGGGGCCGATTCTTGGATGGCATTCAGCAACTTTTTTTAATCGATCTCAAGGATCGATGTACCTTCGAACGATCTAAACCCCCTTTCAATGTTTTTATGATCTGGCCCCGATGCAAGGAGTCAGTGGTGCTTGTGCGATGGCTCGCGCTGGTATGTGCTCGAGAAGCTGAAAAAGATGGCAGCGAGCACAACAAGTTGCGTGCTGCACTGTTTCTGGGTTTGGGCACAATGAGGAAAATCCTCACGTCTGCTGGCTTTTACCTGAATGCCGAGGAGCTGAGAGAGCTGGAGTACTACAACACAATGTATCACTCCGCTCTCAATGCTCTGGCTACGGAAGCCATGCATCATGGTCAGCTGCTGTGGAAGGTCCGGCCGAAGGGCCATCAGCTGGATCATCTTTGTCTGGATGCTGCGGTTCTGATGAACCCCATCCAGACTTCGGCTTATTCCGAGGAAGATCTTGTGGGGCGCATGAAGCGCCTGGCGTTGCAGTGCCATCCACGTCGGCTTGGACTGACGGTGCTGCAGAGGTACTGCTGGTACTGCTGCGTGAGGTGGCTGAAGACTGATGAGTGAATCACAGTTCTCAGCCACCTCATGTGCAGCAGATCCAAGCCTCTGGCAGCTTTTTGCAGCGCTTTTGCCAATACATCCTGGAGTGGTGTTTTTTTTTGGGCCCTTACAACTGGCAACACAAGGCCTCGCCTGACAACTGCATCCTGGAGTGATGTTTTATGGGCCCTTACAATTGGCAACACAAGGCCTCGGCTGACAACTGCATCCTGGAGTGATGTGGGCCGATATATATATTTTTTTTTGGACTGGTTTTTACAATGGTGCCCAAGGCCTGGGAAGCACACACATCCTGGAGTGGTGTGTAGACAAAACTTGTTTGGCTGGCTTGCCGAAGACTGGAACTTCGGCCTGGAAGCACACTGCTACAGCTGGCTCCAAAACGGAGGAAAGTGGATCGTCCGCTTGTAAGCGTGCTCAAGGTGCCTTGAGTGAAAAGATAGATCGGAGGGACGAGTATGCCGAGTAATTCGAGGAGACCCAGAACCCAAACCTCCTGCTTCAGACCCAGAAACGAACCCTCCTTCAATCTCTCTTTAGGGTCTCGGTCTTTCCGAAGTTTAAGGGTTCAGGGGTGCTCTGCGTTCTTGTGTAGGAGGGATCCTGCTTCAGACCCAGAAACGAACCCTCCTTCAATCTCTCTTTAGGGTCTCGGTCTTTCCGAAGTTTAAGGGTTCAGGGGTGCTCTGCGTTCTTGTGTAGGAGGGAGGAGTATGCTGACTAATTCGAGGAGACCCAGATCCGAAACCTCCTTAAATGCTTAGACCCAGAAACGAACCCTCCTTCAATCTCTGTTTGTATGCACATCCCTGAGACAATGATCCGGAAGCCTAAACCCCAACGCCTGAGTCCTCACACCTTATAAGGTGTGTAAGCAGTTACAGTGTTTCCAACAACCCGAACACCCATCCCTCCTTTTCCGGGGTCTTCAGGTTGAGGGATTCAGGAGCTCGGGGTTTGTGAGGGACCTGGTTATCCTCGTCATGTCGATTCTAATAGGATCCTAGCCCAACGCCTGAGTCCTCACACCTTAATTAAGCAGTCACAGTGTTTCCAACAACCCGAACACCCATCCCTCCTTTTCCGGGGTCTTCAGGTTGAGGGATTCAGGAGCTCGGGGTTTGTGAGGGACCTGGTTATCCTCGTCATGTCGATTCTAATAGGATCCTAGCCCAACGCCTGAGTCCTCACACCTTAATTAAGCAGTCACAGTGTTTCCAAGAACCCGAACACCCATCCCTCCTTTTCCGGGGTCTTCAGGTTGAGGGATTCAGGAGCTCGGGGTTTGTGAGGGACCTGGTTATCCTCGTCATGTCGATTCTAATAGGATCCTAGCATGAGGGAACTAGCACTTTCTAACGGTGGCATATAAGCATGGTTTATGCTATTCTTGAAATGACCTCTTTTAAGTCCCTGTGCTAAAAACACGTGTGTTGGAAGCTCCTGGAATGTGTGTCCGCCTTACAGGCAGCAGGCAGAATCCATATTGTGCTGCACCGGGGACAGCAGATACACAGCTGTTGGAAGCCTACATGATAAAATGCCCTGCACGCAGCACCTGTGTGCTTGGAAGAGGGGTGTGTTGGGCTATACTTGTACATGGTAAGATTGACATGAAGCTCCTGCTCAACCAAGTAATTTGGGGAAGCATATTCATTGGTTTAGTCTTGGTGGTTCAGGGCTTAAGGCTCCCCGAAGCCAATGCAAGCGGCCGTAGGCCACGGGTTCAATGGAGTTACCTAGACCTAGTCGTAGGCTTTTTGGGCTTTGTGTTTGACAAGGCCTCTGTTCCTTTCCACCTAGTGAAATTGACTGGAAAATATGGAAACTTGATGAACGTTTCACACACCAGGTCGATATCATTCCTCGGCGCCTGTGTAATTCGTCATGCTGAGGCAGCCGTACCTACTGCTCACTTCCGAAACACCTGCAGACAAGTCAGGGACCCAGTATCGACCAATCGACATGTGACATTTATCCAGACTCGTCGTGTCCCGGCTCTGCGTAACAAGAATTCGGCAGCTGCTTCTGCACTTCACCACTGTCACCACCGCGGTGGGCATCGCCCCAGGTCACGACGGACCCATCATCAGTGATGGCAGCGAACGCACGGCCAGAGGCTTGGATTTGCTTCACATTCTTCAGCTGATCCTGCACAGCTGTGCTGTCACCACCGCTGCCAGCATGGCCCCAAGACACTACCGATCCATCATCAATGATGGCAGCGAAAGCGAATCTGGTTGCTTGGATCCACTGCACGTTCTTCAGTTGATCCTGCACAGCACTACTGTCACCACCAGCGCCAGCCCTACCCCAGGTCACGACGGATCCATCACAAAGGATGGCAGCAAATGCGCTACCGGAGGCTTGGATCTGATGCACGTTCTTCAGCTGATCCTGCGCAGCACTGCTGTCACCACCATCCTCAGCATCACCCCAGGTCACAACGGATCCATCGTCAAGGATGGCAGCAAAAGCGCTGCCGGATGCTTGGATCTGCTGCACATTCTTCAGTTGATGCTGCACCGCCGAGCTATCAGCAGTACGAAGGCCCCAGGTTACGACGGATCCATCGCCAAGAATAGCAGCAAAATTGCTGTGGGAGGCTTGGATCTGCTGCACGTCCCTCAGCTGATCCTGCACATGACTACTGTCACCACCACGGTATGGATCCCCCCAGGTTGCGACAGATCCGTCATCCCTGATGGCAGCAAAAGCGAATCTGGTTGCTTGGATCCGGTGCACGTTCTTCAGTTGATCCTGCGCAGCACTACTGTCACCACCATCGCCAGGCTCACCCCAAGTCACGACGGATCCATCGCCGAGGATGGCAGCAAACGCGCCAGCGGAGGCTTGGATCTGCTGCACATTCTTCAGCTGATCCTGCACGTCATTACTGTCACCACCATCCTCGGGATCACCCCATGTCACGACGGAACCATCGCCAAGGATGGCAGCAAATGCGCTGCCAGTTGATTGGATTTGCTGCACATTCCTCAACTGACCCTGCACGGCACTACTGTCACCACCTAGGTCACCTTGGCCCCACGTCACGACAGCTCCATCGCCAAGAATGGCTGCAAAAGACCCGCTGGAGGATTGAACTTTAAGTTTGTTTATGTAGAAGGTTAGCGAATCACCATTCTTCAAGTTGGAATCCTTGATCAGGGCATGTGCATGCAGAATGCCCCCTGACGAGTCTAGCAGCTGCCCCTCTCCGACGTGAAGAGCGCTCTGCGCTCGAACTTTCAAAGTCGCTATCCGTTCATCCAATCCAGCGCTCACAGTAGCCGTCTTGCCACTCAGCAGTCCCACTTCCACTGCAATCGACATGCGCTGCAGCACTTGTTTTATCTAATGTTCTCAACAATTAGAATAGGGTTTGGTGCTATACTATGAATGCACAAGGGGTCTAAACGATCATCCCCTATGTTGCCCTCCCTCGACCGGCGATGGAGACTGGGGCACAGGGCTCAGGATTAAGGGCAAACGGCCTTTGCCGAAGACAGTAGACCGAACTTGGAACACAATGACTACGGATTTAGCTTTTGTGGGGGTGGGGGGTGGTGAAGGCTTCCATGTTCTCATGAGCTCGGACGGTTCTGATGTGGTTGCCACGTGGGATTGTAGGGCAGAGGACCGTCTGTATGTCCGGATGTGTGAGAGACAGGGCGTGAGGGAGAAAGAGAAGAGTGCATGTAATATGTGTGCGTAGGAGACTCGGAGGCGAACGGGAGTGGAATAGGGAAAGGCGAATTAATGGGGCGAGATAGCCAGGGAAAGAGAACAACAAGACAGAAAATACATCCAAGTTGAAGGCTTGGATGTGAGCGTGTAAGTGTATACGTGTACATACATACAGACATACATATATACGTACTTATGTACACATATACATGTGTGTATATATATACACCAAAGTTTTAATATATATATATATATATATAGATAGATATATATATATATATAGATATATATATATATATATATATGTATGTGTACATATATATATATATGTATATATATATATATGAATGTACATATCCTTTCATCCGTTTATATGTTTAAGCTTACAGGGAATGGTGGATTGCAGGCATACAGAAGGAAGGCCGCCAGAAGGAGGGACCCAACAAGTCGACGGGTAGTGAAACAGATCGATGAACGACCATTCGATGATTTTGTTGAGGCGTGATGACGGATAGTCTACCTGTGCAGGCACACGTACAGGTAGACTAGGATGACGCCATTCGATGTTTAGGGCTTTGGGTTTTGGGTTTAGCGGTTTAGGGTTGGTTGGGGTTTAGGGTTTAGGGTTTATGGTTTTGGGTTTAGCGGTTTAGGGTTGGTTGAGGTATCCAGATCTAGCCGTAGGCTCTGGCATTGTAGATTCCCGTCAACGCGCATCAACCACCTGTCTGCTTTCTGGAGGCTCGTTCGAGTCAGTAGATGTACTTGCTTGCTGACTTAATATTCCCCCGTATCTTCTGTAGTAATCTGTGCAACCCGTCTTGCTGGCCAAGTCTAGTTTCAAGGCATATGGCATATGGATTATTGGGGTTCAAGTGGGTTAGGGGTGATGCAGACAAAGACTTATATGGCCGAGTAGTAGCTCGCTCCCTTTGCTGAAGCCAGAAACAGACCCCAAAGCAAACAAAACACGTTCGGACACCCTGAACCCCAACCCTACATTCCAGACTCTCAGCCCCGTAACCCTAAATTCTAAACCCGCAACCCACGGATCCAGGTCTCCTTCACTTTGCGGAGGCGCCGCTTGAGGTTGAGGATGTGAAGATAGATCATCCTCGGTATAGGGTCTATAGGGCTAATCCACTCGAACTCATGAGCGCGCAAAGACGAAACAAAAGCCGTAGCAGCTTTGGTTGATTGGTTGGTTGATTACATTTATCTATGTATGTGTCATTACAAACATACATGTCGTGCACGGATTTTGGTGGCCTCGGAACAGTCAATGTCTGCGAGTTCCATTGCTGTCCCACGGGTTTAAGGCTCAGTTTTGGGGAGAGAGGGGTGTTCAAGGAGGTGAGTTTAGGAGACTTAAGCCAAGAAGCCCTATCAACCCTTCGCCTTAGCCCCAAATCCCCAAACCGAAAGCTGAGCCCCAAACCCCGAACTCTCCCTGATGAGTCGCACCGTTTTGCTGAGGGTACGGCTGGTCTTTCTCCGCCCATCCTTCCTCGACCTATACATACAGGTTGCAGAAGCTTCATCCGGACTTGTGTGGTCGGTGGGTTTCAGGCTTTAGGGACCTGTCACTCTCGATACTAGGACCTCGATAATGATTCTGAAGTTTTTCTTCCCAAGTGGAGTAGTCAGAGGTCCACACCCCAGTCCCCGCCTCACTGTCGACACCTTCTTCGATCTTGAAGACGGAACGTCTAAGGAAGAAACGGGTCTAAGGTTCCGCATGAAGCCTGCTCCAGCATCTCTCTGCCGCCCCAGCGTGCAATCTCCTAGCGGGCTTTTCAGTCTGGGTTGAAAGGGACTGTCTGTCATACTGGTTGCCACTACAACACGACGAAACTTGCACTATAGCGACCACACGACCTCTGCTGCAGCAATCTGGGGGCGACGTAGAAACACAGCGTATCGGGTGGGTGATGCCTCATGTCCGTGCTGTGCTTCAAGCTAGGTAACTCCCACCCGTAGTTAGTACTTAACAGTCTTGCGTTGTAGTACACGTGCATCTTTTGTTCATACTACTACTAGTCTACAACTACTACTCTGCATCAATGTACTTAGATTGAGGTATGCCATCGTAAGATACCAGAACCCCTATAGAGACTGGTATCTTGTTCAGGCTTCTATATGGGTGGTTGTCAAAATTATGGCCCTTTTTTGGGGTACCCTAAATGCCGGGCTATAATAGGGACCCAAACAGGGACCATCATTTTGACAACTACCCATATGAGTGTGGCAAATCGGGTCATGCGAAGCTCTAACCACGACTCGAGACCTAAGGCATCTCCCCGAGGCACTAAGATGTACTCAGCCATGAAGGGCATATGGGGCCTGATAGGGCTTATAGGACGTGTAGGGTTTATAGGGGGTTAGGGGTTTAGGGCTTGAAGGGTTTAGGGTTTATAGGATTATAGGGTTTAGGCGGTTTAGGGGTTAGGGCTTCTGACGTCTGCACCCGACTACCAAAACCCTACACCCCCAGCCCCAAAAACATCTACCTTGCGTCCTCCAAGCTCGCAGGGTGTTTGCGTGCAAGCTCATTGAGTGCCTGCTTGGATGCGGAGGTATCAGGTCGACAGTACCGGTTGGCTCCTCTCATACTTGGAGGATCATGGGACTTAGTAAGTAGGGTTATAAGTACCTTAATTGGGGTTATAAGTAATTATAAGTACAGTTACCTTAATTATAACCCTAGTTACTAAGTCCCATGATCCTTTAAGTAGACTTCAAACCTTTACCATGGTATCAACCAGTTGCTGCTATTTCTTGGGGTCGATTCTTATCGGCTTCCTCAGGACGAAACTGTCCACCAAAGCCAGCATTCGCCCCAGGACTGCAGGTGGGACATGTTCCTTGGGCCTGCCTAGGGCTATGCTACACACTTTCGACTCTACCCATACCTACAAGGCGGGAAGCATTTTCCAGTAATTAATCGCCAAGCAAGTGGGTCGACATCCGTGCAACCTGTACATAAGCTGAGGCCGGGTCGCCCCATCTGTACATCCGGGGAAGCTCGACGTGGGGGTGACAAAGTATGATGCTTCAATCCACATCGCCCGCACATAACGGAAGTGACAACCCCAAAATGCTTCAAACCCATAACCCCCAAACAACACCAGCGACTGTTCTGCAGCACCTCCTGACAAAAGCCTGCCACGCTCAAGAAGCTCCGGGCAGTTTTGGACACGATCTTGTGCGAAAACACAATAGGAATGGTTCTGATTTATGAGACATACACACTTAACGACGACTATACGACTAACAGGTGCTCCTGTTGCTGCTGCCGCACCCCGTTTCTGTTCTCATTTGCATGCTATTAAAGTGATCAAACCTGCTGCACCACATGCTCAAAGCACTACTGCCCCCTCTGAGTACGAGTACTGCGTCAACAGTCTTTCTATCGTACGATTACACTACAATACGAGTGCCAGTCGGTACTGGTTGCTACTGCTACGGCTACTTCTACTGCTGCTGCTACCGCTGCTGCTGCTGCTGCTACGACGGCTACTGCTTCTGCAGCCGCTACTGTTCCTGGTACTGCTATTCCTACTCCTGCTGTTAGTGCTGCAGTCGCCGCTGCCACTGATAACTACAGCCTGGCTTGGAGCGAGCTTCCACAATGTTGGGGCAAACGCAGCAAGATGGGACGGAAGCGGAGTGGAGCGGCCCGCAGCCATCTTAGATCCTGACACCCAAGAAAAAGTCGAATTCACCGGAGGCACGACCACTGCCTGCCCTCATAGCTATATGGGAGTTTCCGAAAATAGGGGTACCATATTTAGGGGTCCTCACAATAATAAGGATCCTACTATTTCGGGTACTATATTTGGGTCCCCTATTTTCGGAAACCCCCATATCTGCAGAAGTCTCCGGGGTTCACAGACCCTGAACAGCAATACAACCACCCAAGGCTTCGTAAGCACTCAGTCTCTGCACCCTGCACGTTTTTGCTCGGTCGCTTGAGATAAAACTTGCTGGCCCCGTGGAATTTCTGGTCCTACACCCTGATCATGATACCCATAATACCCAAAACCAACCCTGATCATGATACCCAGAATACCCAAACCACAAAAGCCTCTAAACCCGTGCAAGACACCTTGTGAGCCCCTGCTAAGCCGCAGTCTCCAACGCCTCGACTCCACGTCCTTCCCAGGAAAATCGCCCGGAGGCGGAAGTTGCGAGGAATCCGTAAAAAAAAAACTACTCGTCGGGTCTGCCAAGCCCCCTGTGCGAGACTCAGGGGGGAGCAAACCACTCAACATACCAGCAAGATGTACGAAACACCTCCGAACTCTCAATCCATCACACCCCTCCTGCAAGAAAATCGGGTCCCCGAGGCTCTTCACCCTTGCGAAGGCCGGGGGACCGCAGCTGGCATCAAAGATGTGGTGGATTCTAGGGGTTTATAGGTTTGACTGAAGATTTCTAGATTAGTGCCAAGCTCAGAATTCCTAGCGAAGCCTGCCCTGACTGTTACGTCGAATTCGCCTCTCTGCCTACGCACTCCTGCCCTGAAGGGAAATTGTAGAACTCTGGTCAGGAAACCCTGCACTTTCCCTAAGATCTATAGGGGAGTTTCCGAAAATAGGGGATCCTAATATAGTATACCCTAAATTTCTAAATAGTAGGAACCTTATTATAAGGACCCCACCATAAGGTACCCCGAATTTTCGGGAACTCCTATAGCTTCCGCCCCAAACCTGAAGGCTCCTCGAACGGTGAAGGACGCCGGAGTTGGCGAGCACGACTCATTAGGGTTCCGAGTTTACCTATAGTCTCCATGGTAGTTCCTTTTGTTGGTTTAACCAATTCCATATTAAGGATCCTAAAAGGTAACCCAAAAAAGGAACTACAATGGAGACTATAGGTAGGGCTGTAGGGTTTATAGAGTTTCGGTTGGTTAGAGCTGCAAGGTTTGGGAGGGCTTCGTCTTGAGGTTCTCCGGTTTAGGATTGCAGTGCCGAGCCTCGACATAACTTCTTGAACACCGATACAGCAAACAGCTCTTGACTATGATGTAGCGGTGCTTTGCTGAGGATCTTAGGAGCTGGGTCTGCTTGGTTCGCTAGGCAGTTTGGTTTCCGGGTCATTGGTGCGCGGTATACAATTCAGGGTCATGAGCTGTCGGTTTAAGCGTTAACTTTCCGGGTTTAAGGCGCTGCCGTTCATGCCAGCGTGAGACACTGAGCAGCACAAGCTTCGGCTGCAGCGAGTCTGAGAGTTTAGGAGCACGCTGAGGGAAGCTTGCGCGCAAGAAGGATCATGGGGCGGAGCAACTTATAAAGTATCTAAGCCGTGATAGACAGGACAGTTTGTAGCAAACTACCTAAATCCACTCATAGGTGCTGAGACACCTACATACAAAGCCCTCTGATCCTCCAAGCTCACGACCGCTCACGTGAGTCAAACTCTCAGGTGTCCCTCCTGGCTCGGCGCGGCAACTTTTGAGGGCCAAGGCCCCCGAAGCGCAGCATAGATCCCCAAGCTCGGAACTCAAAACTGTAGGGTTTCGTAAACTCCAAACCCTAAATTCTTATGAACACCTCAAGCCATGAAAATCTGAGCGATCATCCACAGGCCCCGAACAGCCCTGGGGAACTTCGAAAATCGGGGTGGTGGCTCTATGTGCCTCTATACTGCAGAAGCATAAACACAGGACAAACCTGTATTTTTTCATTGTACGGGCGACGACAACAACATTAGGGGACACGGTATAGTTTGGAACCGTATTCTTGAGGCCCCCATGTTGCCTAAACCCTAAACCTATGTTCCCTAACTGGTAAACAGCATCTGCAAAGGTCTGTTCTCAGTCCTCCAAGTCCATCTGCTCACTCGACTCCTTGGGAAATCAGAGATCGAGCTCGGTTGATGGTTTAGAGTTTAGGGGTTTAGGGCTTATAGAGTTTGGGTTCATGGTCTTCGGTCTAGCCCAGATACAGCAATACTGGTACGAACAGCTTAGACGTCGCCGAAATGGAAATCGCAGTCTGTACCACGAAAGAGAGGCTCAAGGAGTCTTGAACCCAAGATTCCCGAACGCCAACCCCGTCGTTCCTGTCCTTGCCTGCGAGCCTAAACATCGCATCGGGTTTTGGTGGTGCAGGGTTTGCTGCGATTGCCTGTAGGATGGGGGGTGGGAAGGTCATGCAGCTTCGGGCTCGGCGGCTCCGAAGACTTGGCATTCTGGATGTATAGGACTTGGGGTTCTGAGTCTAACGGAACCAAGAACTCTTCGACATAACTCCAAACATGGGATTTTGTGTCGCGATTGTACGAAAAGCCTTGCAACAGATCTTGAGGCACCGTCTAAACCGTGGAATCTGCTCCTCCCACGTCTTTAGGGATGATTAGCAGTGCCCCAGACATCAACGTCAAAGTCTGTGCCCGAGGTGCTTCATGGGAAGGCTCCGAGGACAGCGATGAGGGTGACGTACTCCTTTCGATGCTGCGGGACTTGCTATAAAGCCAATAACGTCGATATTTATTCTCCGGTGCTCAATGACGGTCCATGTAAATCAAACTGAACTCCAAAGACGAAGCTGGGTAGCGTGAGCTTCTACCTTACTATACTTTTATAGTTAATTATACTATGCGATAGGATACTATACTTTACTATACCGTACTATACTATTCCTTATGCCGGTTCCAAACGTCATTACTCGCGAAGTTTCTGCAGTCTGATGCTACTTCTTTCGGAATGGAGCACGGAACAAACAACAAATGGGAACCCCTGCAACAGGAAATTGAGCACAGGATGATTGACTGCCACACAAGAAGCTCCAATTGTACTGCTGATGCAGTTTCACACAATTTGAACGATTTCGTTCTCAAAATAATTATCTGTTGAGCGCCGACTTCTTTTCATACCAAGAACAGCAAACCTTCAACGCCATGAGAATTACAAAGCTCAATCCCTTGCAAACTCAACGCTCCGGTAAAGAGAACCGGGGCGACGGTCGCGCGAACTATTATCGCGATTCAGAGTGATCTGGTTGATGGTGATGATTCGGGTGAGGTTGCAAGTTTGGAAACATTGACGAAATCAGAGAGAAAGACGATGGGCTGTGGTGTTGGTAGTCGTGATCGTGAAAGCTTCGTTGTGGTGGTCATGGCGGTGGTGGTTTCTTCTGCTCAGATGATGACAACACCTATCGAGGAGCTGTTGTTGCTCATGTCGCTGGAGATGATGACTGTTACAATGGCGCTGCAGAATTAAGCGAAACTGCTTTCTGTGACGACTACTGGGAAGCTGGTTAGCAAATGGGCACGACGGAGCGTGATAAGAATCCAAACAAGAAGAGGAAGGGTTCTCCCTCATCTTGTCGCTTGGTCGGTCAGGCTCAGTGAGCCGATCCCGGAACAAGGCGCATCGCGACTGAATTGGCGCATGACTAGCGCCACCGGCATCGTGGTAGAACACATTAGCGATTTGGTGAGAGTTAGCTAAGCATGTTTGGTCGCTTATTCAACACAGGAAGGCTCAAATCCCGAGTGCACATACGTTTCCAACTCACAAAGCCAAGCCTCTTCTTTCCGAAAGAAACATTGCAAACGAGGGAATCAAAAGTGGCTCGTGAACAGGTGGTTCCTCTTCCTATCATACGAAAGTCTCATAGTCATCCCCAAGCGACACAGCATTTCAAACTGTAAGGGGGCAGCTGCTTCGGTCGAATGTTATGCACGAGCTGCTGATGAAGCGCTGGTCCGTGCAGCGTCGGGCCATCCAATTAACGACTGGAGACGCAAACAGCCTTCGTACCATAATAAACCATCTCGTTCACGTGCCAATTTGCACTACCTTCCTTCATCATCATCTGAAGCGATCTTTCCGTGCAACAAGAACGATCCAAGTTTAAGTGGCCGCAACTCGAAACCCTGACAAACAGGCACACAGGTCAGCCCAACTGGAAACCATCTTCATGACAGCCGTCAACAGCCTGGCCTCCCAGATTCGGACCTCAAACGTGCACCGTCATTGTGCCATTGTTGTGATTGGTAGTACCGCGAGCTTCCACAAGGGTTCAAACATGTAGACATCCCCGTTTCGATCAAGCAGCAAGGGAACTCGACCTGAAGCGCAATTAATTACTAAACTCCATGGACGAAATCCGTAGCTAGGAAGCCGACGAGCGTGTGACAGCCACAGAACGAACTGTGTTGAAAGGTAGTGTGACAATACGTATGCCTGTGTCAGCCGTCAAATGTTATCATGTGCAATCTTGTCTATCAATACTAGCGTTGACACAACCTAGCATCGGCATTACCTTCTGTAGAATCGTGTAAGAAAAACATCCGCAAGCCCTACATTTTTGGTCACCGACCAGCGTCCCAAGATGCGGAAACCCCAATTCCTCCCCGGGCTTTCAATTGTGGTGTGTGTTCTTTGCCCCGGTTCTAAACATGCTCAAACTGCTGTTATATCTGCTGCTACTGCTGCTGCTACACTCCTATTCCTCCAACACCTCCTCCTACTGCTCCGACTACTACTCCCAGACATATTGTTGACTTTGAGCACAATCACAACAACGGTTCCGAGATCCTTCCCGCTCACCTAAACCCTAAACCCTAAACCTTAAACCGTAAACCCCAAACCCGAACCCTAAACCCTGACTCAGCAGTTGCAGGTGCCTATCTGAGCTGGCATTCTTTGATGCGGTGCTGTGTTCCGCCCTGTGGCCCTCCTGTGAGTCCGCGGCTTAGGCTTGGGGTGTCGGATGATTGCTTAGGGCCGTTAAAGCTACGGGGGTAGGATTGAGCGTTGAGGCTTCATGATTCTGGGGCAGGGGCCGCTTCGGTTTGAGGATGGGGGCTTCAGGTATGCTGCTGAGGGCTGCATGAACGAAGTTTGAGTTCCGGGCTTGCAATGCAACGCAGAGGGTCCTTATTAAGGTATCTTGAAGATTACAAAGTTGGGCTTTTACGCTGACCTCAATGATGAGAAATTGCTGTGGACTCATTATATGTATAGTCCTTTTTCGGACACTTTGGGACTATATACGGACGTTCCACAACTAACAGACCTCCACATCATTGAGCTCATTCGGGATGGCTTACATCGTCTGAGCCTGCCTATTTCATGACCCCCGCTTTCGAAGTACCTGTCATACGGGCGTAAAGTGTTTCACATGTCTGTAAGGGGGACACAGGTTCGACGAGAATCCTTGCCATAGAGCGTACTAGCAAATTGAATATGTGAACGGATAAACGAATGCACATCCTTGGAAAGCTTAAAGCCTCTGGAAAGCCTTTGCAAAACTCTTAGAAACTCTTAGCGGCTAGGAAAAATCTGCGATGACCCTTGACAAGACGGCATAAACGAAACACATACTAGAAACCCACCCACGCTAAAAAGCGAAGCAATCCTCACCAAATTCCTGTCTCCCCAAGCCCAAACTAACAAGCCTAAAAATCCTTACACAACTTCACCCAAAGCCGAAACAGCCGATGTAATGTAGGGGCCTTAATAAACAGAACAGGGTTTGGGGGGTATATTCTACCATAACTATCATAAAGAACCCCAACCCCCCCCCAACGACACAACAAACACTCTTCTAAAAGCCTCACTGCGGACGAAGGATCGAGGCTTCGGAGGGACTCGCCAAGGGCTCGGATGGAGATGTCCAGGAGCTTGATCCTAGTCATCACTCGGATGAAAATTTAGGGATTTACGGTTTAGGGGCAGAGGGTTTAGGGTGCGGGGTGTAAGGGGATTAAAAGGGCTCAGGATCGAGTTGAGGGCTTGGGTTTTAGGGCCTTAAAGAGATAGTGTACCAGGACCCCCCAAGTACCCTTTAATAAAGCCCTTATGGTCCTTAATACTGGGTATTTAGGGTATGTTAGAGGGTAGTTGGGGGGTCCAGGTAGGTCGTGGGTTTTTAGGGTCAGGTTAGCTACGGAGCCTAATGAGGCTTAATTTGGGCTTCTGAATTACACGGTTCCACCCCGTTCAGTAAGGAATACAACTTCCCATCCTCTACTAAGGCCCGGAAACACAAAGCTTGTACTCAGAGGTCGAAGGCCACGTTGGGTCTTGTATCGGTTGTTCATGCGGTGTGCAAGTGCATTCTGAGCAGGTGCGTATTTCCACTTAGCTTCATAGGGATGCATACTGCATTCTGCATAATATGTAGGGTTCATGCCGCAACTGGGGGAAGGAGCTAGTGGAAGCAAATCTAAACCCAAAACCAGAGAAAATAGCAAACTTATGAATGTAATCGTAAGTACTCAACAAATATAGTTAGGACCATATATGTATATATGTACATACAAATAACATTAACGATAATCAGAGCAATATAAAGCCCTCAAGCGCCCGAATGGTCTTCGGTGTCGCTTCAGCGGAGCCGCGCTGCGGCTGCACGAAGTCCCCCAAGGTTTTGGTTGCGGGCCAATCCTCCAGCCTTCTTGCCTTAGACATTGTCGTTCAGGGTTTAGGGTAGTTGCTGTAAGGTGGTAAAGTGAAGGGATTCGGGTTTTAGGGATTCTACAGTAGGGCTTGCTTCGTTTTCGCATTTGAAGCTTTTCCTGTTGGGCTTGCGCTTATAGGGTTCGTTAGGCTTTACACACGGCTTCAGAACTGAGGATGAGAGCCAAAGATCCGGGCGTGAAAGCTGGTCTTGGGGATTTGCAAGGTGAAGTCTTGAGCACCTCCCTTCATGATGCTTCAGTCGACATTTCTTGCGAACGACCCAAAGCCGCAGCACTCCAGTATTCAGGGGATTAGCTGCTCCATTGCAACTGAGGCTCATGGCTCACACTCCGAGGATAGCCCGCACCCGAACCTGCCTCTGCAACTCCGACCTCTTCCAATCCTAGTTTGAAACATTGACCCTACACTCGACACCCCAAGCCCTGATCCGTTCACTTCTCCAACACGCCCAAACAGCTCCACTAGGCTAGCCGGGCCCGAAATTAAAATTCATCTAAACTCATACTGCGATAACAGTCGCGGGATGCACCCGCACCAAGAAGGAGCAGTCGGTTGCGCTCCTCCCCACCCGAAAGTGATTTCGAGCATGTATGTGTGCAGACATAAACATGTACATCGTACATGTATACAAAACTGATCTATATATATATATATATGTATATACACACACATATATGCTATAAGTAAACGTATACGTGTATCTGATTTTTGGCATGCTTGTGGTTTTGTGCGTCTGCATGCATGTCCGTCCGCTTGTCGTCGGTCCGTCAGTCAGCCAGTCTATCAATGCATGCAAGCATGTAGGCAATTGCATAATTACCATGCAAACCCTGCATCTGCACATAAGGTCAGCGACGTCCTGCGCCTGAGGAGGAGTTGTAGTTCATGAAGATTCACTGTCATCCGGAGGTATAGCGAGCCGGGGAGAGAGAAAGAGAGCGAGAAAGAGCGGCAGAGAGAGAGAGAGAGAGAGAGAGAGAGACAGAGAGAAAGAGATAGAGAGAGAGAGAGAGAGAGGGGCAAGAGAGCGAGATGTGGAAGGAGACGTGTACACCATGTGCATCCATCCAAATATTTTGGAACATAAGATGTGGAAGCGAATGCTTCAATGTGCACTTACTCATATGTTAACCAGTACTTAGATGCAAGCAGGGATTCGTTTTGTTTTCTGGCTTGCTTGCACAGCATCTGGGCTTGGGCAAGCTCTCCTCCCCCTGCGCAGCTGCGCTGCGTCTCAGTCCGTGTCCTATGTCGCTTGTGTGAAATCGAGGACCGCGAGTCCCTGCAGCCACGTTCAATTCCATTCAGGCCTATGTGGTCGTGTCCCCGCTGCGTCGGGAGTCGGTGTTTATGGGCGAACGGTTGCTCTGCCCGGACATTGACCGCGTAGCTCGACAGGTACTTGAGAAGCGGATGCTGAGTACTAGGTAGCAACAGGGTGCACCAGGGGCCGTTTGAATGCCAGGTTGTCGGAATACGGGTTGCGTCACACTGGTGTTGTGTCGGTGGTGCTGTGGTTGGGTCGCGGCTGCCTCCGGATTATGATTCACGGGTGAGAAGAATAAGCGAAACTTAACGGAACATCACATGCACTGAGGCCCTCGCGTGCCCATATTGTAGGTGCTGGTGTGGTTGTTTGACGGTTCGTGTTTCGGTTCCGAAGCTTGCTCCACCTGCGGCAACTTACTGTCCGGAGCCCCTGCCGAAAACATCAAAACTTGACGGTCTGAGCCCCGACAGAGGAGTAGTCGAACAGATAGCCGTTGGTGTAGTTCCGACATTAGCGTCGCTCTACGCATCAGACAGGAACTGTTGGCGTCCCCATGGCGTCTTCGAACAAAAAGGTGTGGAAGGGAACGTCTCTCTACGTCCCTATCGGGTTGAAGGGAAAAGAATGGAGCGTCTCTCGACTCTCCAAAGGAAAGAGCGGATTGAAGGGATAAAGACGTCTCACAGCGCCTGGGAGTCAAAAGGAAAGGAGTGGTGGCAGAGCTATGTCCCGGTGCTCAAAATTCAAAACTGGAGCTTTGTCGCGCAAGAACAAGTTCTAGGCTGCCTGCTCCAGCTAAGAAGGAAGAGCTTGAAAACCACTGACCCGTTAACAAGTTACAACTTGGATCCGCCAACACATAAATGGGTTGCACCAGCTTCCTTCCTGTATGCCCCGTCGGTAGTGGAAAGAGTTGCACCATGACCCAAGTATCTTGGACCTATACCCCATTACCAGCTTTCCACAGTGCGGGCGGGATGTCGGAAGTGAAACAACGAGTGAGCTGCTGGTCACCGTGGACAAGTTGAGGCTGTTGAGCCGAGGACTCCCACACATGATGGCATACTTCGAGCTCAGTAGAGCTGAACGCATTTCGAAATTGTGCTCACCGCCGGCTCCAGACACCGAAGAGTCAGCCTCGTCGATCGCTCCCCCCATCCACCAGAAAGGCGGCAAAACCCGTTCCAAGACAAGCTCCCAGTCCCGGCCGCTGCTGGCAGACGGGTTACTCAAGATGCCTACCCCAAACACCGGAAGGACCACTCGGTACACTGCTTGTCTCTCCTTCTTGCATCCTCGGTTTGGGATTCATGTGCTGTATGAGTCGGGCAGGCTCGCACCTTCGTCAACACAAGGAAATACAGCAGTATGATTTCTATATAGGCCAGTTTCGGTTTTTTTACGAGAGTATTGTATTTCTAAAGGATAGCTTCGGGTTCTTGTCGGGGTGTTGAATTTCTACAGTACCCTGCAGCATATGTCGGGCTTCTTCCTCCAGATCTGCCATCACTGGCTCGACTTTGCCACCATTCCTGGGCTGTCACCAAGGGGTCAACTGGGCATGCCCTGAAGCTGTTTAGACCCAGAAGGCTCAAGCTTAAACTCAGAACTAACCCTAAATCAACAAATCCCTCCGAAGCCGCAAGCCATTGTGCGCTCACCCAAGCCGAGCGGCTGCCCAGTCAGCATGGCGGAGGCAGCCGCCAACGCTGCATCCTATTGGTCTTCAAGGGTCTTGTCTGCCCTGAGGCTTAGGGTCTAAGGGCATCAGGATCAAGAACATTGACGGCGTTGTGCACTTCGGCAAAGGAACCATAACGTTGAGCAAAACCTGTGCAAGAATGCATACGCGAAGAATCTGTTAGGCAGGTGACTCACCGATCTTATACCCCCCTTTGGACCCTGAAGTAGCAGTCCCTAAAACCTAAACTCCAAACCTCTAAACTCCTAAGCCCTCCACGCTAACAATTATTGAACCCACATGGGACCAACCCAAGTGCAATTCAATAGAGGCCTGAGTGTATAGCAGAGGGTAGCTGGAGAGTCTCTTTTTCTCAGGTAGGTATGGCTGAAAAGTACTTCTAACCCAATCAAACAACTTACGACCCTACTTCTATACCTAATTAATGTGCCGATTCCAGTTAAGGTAGCTTAGTCATTACCTGACTTGCTAAGTAACAGATTTAGGATGAAGGCACTCTCCGCATTAGGCTTGCTTGTCGTTGCAAGTTGCCCTAAGGTGTGCAAACGACCCAGTAACTGCAGGTTCTGCAAGGGCTCTACAAGGGGTTTCCTGGAGTCTTACCGGGTTTTACAGGGGTTCAAGGCTAACTAGTACACATTACTTGGGTTGGGCTTCGGATAGTAGGTAGTAGTGATATAGGCTGATAAGGTCTTTGGCACCTTAGATAACCTTTAGGGTCATGGATGGAATGAGCGAGGGGTGAAGTGGGAACAGGCAGCCTGATGTTGGGTTCAGAGTCTTTGGACAAGAGCCCTAAACACTAAACTAAACCCGGAACCGTAAACCTTACCAATTATAAACCCTATACTCAACCCTAACCCAAAACTCAATCCCAAACCCCAAACTCAAGCCAACACCCTGACCCGAGGCGTTTGGGGCGTTGGGGTTCAGGTGCTGACTCCTTGCTGACTCAAGGCCCCCGCAGGGATGGGTTTTTTCTTGAAGTGCAGGGATAGGGATGTTTTCGGGTGTAGGACTTTAGGATTTCGGGATACTGTTGAGGAGTTGGAGGGCATGAAAAGCTGGCTACAGCGTCCACGGCCACTTCTTGGTCCTTACCCCTCAACCCAGCTCCCAAACCTACACACTCGGGTAAACCCTAAACCCCTAAACCCTAAACCCTACACCCCTAAACCCTAAACCCCTAAACCCTAAACCCCTAAACCCCTAAACCCTGCACCCCTAAACCCTAAACCCCTAAACCCCAAACCGTACAAACAGCACAACCCTTGCGTCGAGAGGCTAGAGATTCGGCAAGGCCCTCGCCATTGGGACCCAAGGCCTTCGATGTCAAGAGGCTGGTTTTCCTACGGTTTTTGATATAAATCCTGCATTACCCATAATAAGGTATGTACCATAATTCCCATAGTTTAGGGTCCTAACAGTAATGCAGGATTTGTATCATCAGCCGTACTTTAGCTGCCTCACTGGTTACAATAGGGTTCGGGTCTACAATCTATAAAGCTTTTCTCGGCTCCTATGGCTTTGTTCAGAAGAGGTTCGTGTTACAAAGGCTAAGGGCAGGGCAGCACCATTATGGAAGTGAGCCGCGTGAGACGGTAGCAGACATGGTCTGCTTTACCCAAAGGCCCCAAAGTAGTTCCTTTTTGGGGCTCATATATAGAATCCTCTAAAGTAACCCCAAAAAGGAACTACTTTGCCTAGTTATGCATGAATTCAGACACGTCGGTCTATGAGACCAAGTACATACGCAGAAACGTACCTGCGGATACGTGTCTGAACATAACTTTATGCACATGTGATGATGCGGTATTTTTGCACATGGGCCTATTTGAGCTTCTATCTGCATATAAGTAGACCTTTCTATCTATCTGTCGATCTTTCTATACATATATATATATACATATATACATATATATATATATATATATATATTTTATTACACACATGTACAACTGTAACCTTCAAAAGGAGTGCCGAGGCGCTTGAAGGACACGCCGGTCGTTGGAAAGCGGGAGCTCTGCGTCCTGCTGCAAAGCAACAGGGTTTAGGGTTCAGGGTTTAGGGTTTAGGGTTCAGGGTTTAGGGTTTAGGGTAACACTTTCACGAATTCTGATACCGAAGGGCCCATGCTTCGGCACCTAAGTACCTATATAACGACTACTTTAAGGCCAACGTATATGGGTGGTTGTCAACATTAGGGTCCCTTTTTGGGTCCTTATTATAGTACGGCACCGATTATTTAGGGTACCCAAAAAGGGACCCTAGTTTTGACAACTACCCATCTACTATTTAGGTACATGGACCCTTAGAAAGTGCTGTTGGAGGCTTCCGATTTAGGGTAGGGCTATGTTACGCAATAGTAGGTTGCTGTCCTTAAATATCGACACTAGATTGGTAGCTCGCTTCTAGAGACGGCCAGAAGAAGCCCCATTCTCGTTGATATTTTAGGGGGTTCCTCATTCGAAATATACCATAATCCACCCCCCTAAACCCTATTCCAACTTTTCGGTATCCGGGCCCCCTCAGGGCCGACTGAAATACGGCAGACACGGCGGTATGTAGACTAGTGGACGAGCGGCCGCTCGCATGCACATGCAAGCAGAGCTCGCCCAAACCAAACGAAAGGCCCCCCAAACCGTGCAATTTCCAGGGCTCGGAGCGATATTAGGGACCAAAGCCGACAAACCCTGAACCCCTAAAACCCCAAATCAGATCCGGTGAATCCTCGCCGAGGCCCTCATGCAATATGGCCACGAGCATGTTCACGATGCGAAGCAGCCGGGAAATTTCCAGAACTGCCTGAGCAAAAGTGTAGATTCTGGGGCCTAGTTTAGGGATGTGTTGGGCTCATAGTGCTTAGAAGTTAATCTAGTCATTGGACTTTAGTCTTAGTAAAAGGCTCCCCTGAGACTTCGCTGCTACTAGGGTTTAGGGTTCCTTTCTATAGAATAGGGGCCTTCATAATCACCAATACTAGTTTGGGTGTTCCTTAGGGCTCTTTCGGGTTCATAGGTGCAAAATGACATGCGTTGGTACAAGTTGCTGTGCCATCGGCGCCTGCCTTTTCAGAGGGATCCTGTGCTTCTTGTCTTCTTACTACCTACGCCTGCTGACTGGCGGTCGTGAATAGCTATAAGTACCATCCGTATAATAATAGAAAGTGTATATATGTATGTATGTACATGTGTATATATATATATTATATATATAACTATTAACTTGTAGCCACATGCGTCCATATATCATATATATATATATATATGTGTGTGTGTGTGTGTGTAGCATAAGGGCTTTATTGCACTCGTGGATCTTGGCGATGAAGGACGTATAAGACTTGAAGACGAAAACATCAACGGATAACGCCACTTCTCTGACATCCGCTCCAGAAAGAAAACTACTAGGTGCCCTTGTTGAGAACGGCTAGCAGTCAAGAAGAAGGAGACTAAGTAGTACAGCAACGGCAATATACCTCAGGGGCCTTAACAAATTAGAAGAAGGCTTCGGAGTATACAGTGTCAGGATCACAATAGAAACTCCACAAAACCCTGAAATGGTGCAACAAAAACATGTGAAACCCTGATTACCCACCCTGAAAGCACAAAGTCACGGCCCTAAGCCCTGAATTTCAGCCTAACAACACAGACCCTTATACATGCATAACATAACATTGTATAATACTGTATAACATAGCATAATATAGTATGACATGCTGTACTATATTATGTGTATATATACACATGTCCTATATGTATGTATAAACGTATATGTTTATGTATATGTACATGTATATGTATATGTATATGTATATGTATATGTACATGCATATATATATATGAGTCTCTTAAGCCGGGCTTGGCCTGAAGGCATTTCCGGCTGCTTGGCTTCTTCCGGCGGCCACAGCAGCGGAAGCAGCGGCCCGGCAGCCAAAGAAGGCCACCTGCATACTCCAGGAGCCCCCAATGGCCCTGTAATGGAGTTATGGCAAGGGTTTAGGGTTTAAGGGGCCTTATGGTCGAGGCCTTACCCTGGAAAAGCCTAATATAGTATGGTCTTTGGGCCCAAAAGCCTTAATATATGAGTCCTTGGATGCCTAGGGTTAGGGCCGGTAAAGGCTACGGCAGCTGCATCGGGCCCTAATCCTAACAACAGCACAGGAGATTCGCAGTCAGGGATGTAAGGCAGGACGGCTTCCAAGATGTTCCAAGTTAGGGGTATCTCCCCACATTGCAGGGGGGAACTGAAGAACTGCGACATGTTTTCGGAATGTTGCAGATCTACTCCACGCTTCTCGTGAGACTGTCTCCCATTGATTACCGGCCGTCGCTTCCCAACGTGCGCTTGCATAGTACTGACCTGCTACATGTTCCTCAGCTCATCCTGCACAGCAGTGCTGTCACCACCTGTGCCCGGATTTCCCCAGGTAGCGACAGAGCCATCAGCAAGAATGGCAGCAAATGCAGCGTGGGATGCTTGGATGTGCTGCACCTTCCTTAGCTCATCCTGCACAGCAGTGCTGTCACCACCAAAATCCGGATCTCCCCAGGTCACGACAGAGCCATCAGCACGAATGGCAGCAAATGCACCGTAGGATGCTTGGATGTGCTGCACGTTCCTTAGCTCATCCTGCACAGCAGTTCTGTCACCACCAAAATCCGGATCTCCCCAGGTCACGACAGAGCCGTCAGCACGAATGGCAGCAAATGCTGAATCTGTCGCATGAATGTGCTGCACGTGCCGTAGTTCATCCTGCACGGCAGTGCTGTCACCACCAAAATCCGGATGCCCCCAGGTCACTACAGAACCATTGGTAAGAATGGCAGCGAATGCACCGCGGGATGCTTGGATGCGCTGCACGTTCCTTAGCTCATCCTGCACAGCAGTGCTCTCACCACCAAAATCCGCATCTCGCCAGGTCACGACAGAGCCATCAGCACGAATGGCAGCAAAAGCATAGCGAGATGCTTGGATGCACTTCACGTTCTGCAGCTCACCCTGCACAGCTGTGCTGTCACCACCTGTGTCCGCATCTCCCCAGCTGTCACCACTTGTGTCCGCATCTCCCCAGGTCACTACGGAACCATCTGTAAGAATGGCAGCAAATGCACCGTGGGATGCTTGGATGTGCTGCACCTTCCTTAGCTCATCCTGCACAGCAATGCTGTCCCCTCCAAAATCCGGATCTCCCCAGGTCACTACAGAGCCATCGGCAAGAATGGCAGCAAATGCAGCGTGGGATGCTTGGATGTGCTGCACGTTCCTAAGCTCATCCTGCACAGCAGTGCTGTCACCACCAAAATCCGGATGTCCCCAGGTCACTACAGAGCCATCAGCAAGACTAGCAGCAAATGCACCGTGGGATGTTTGGATTTCCAGCACGTTCCTTAGCTCATCCTGCACAGCAGTGCTGTCACCACCCAAATCCGGATCTCCCCAGGTCACGACAGAGCCATCAGCACGAATAGCAGCAAATGCACCGTAGGATGCTTGGATGTGCTGCACGTTCTGCAGCTCACCCTGCACTGCTGTGCTGTCACCACCAAAATCCGGATCTCCCCAGGTCACGACGGATCCATGAAAAAGGACAGCAGCGAAGGCACAGGTCTCGTCATAGACTAAAAAGTGCTTGCGATTGCTCACAACTTGGGGTTCCTGTGTTGGAAGCCAGGTCAACACGTCGCCATTCTGCACGCCGGCTGCGCTGAGCGAGGCATATCCATCCAGAAAATCTGAGGACGAGTTCAAGAGACGCCCTCTGCCAAGGCCGAGCACTCCGAGCGCGGTCTGTGCCCTATGCCTGAAACTCTCCACTTCTTCATCCTGCTCAGCATCCAATGCAACCGTCCTGCCACTCAGCAGTCCAACTTGCACAGTGACCATATTACAAACAGCTGGTCCTAAACCTCTAAACCGTTAAGACCCTCAATCTGGAAACACTAAGCTCCAAGACCCTCACCCCTAAATCTACATGGGCCCTAAACCTTCAATGCCCAAGTAGTCTAGAGATTGACTGCCGACTCCTGGCCCACAAATGCTGAGGTCCTTCAAGCCAAGAGAAGAAAGTTTCTAGGAACGTTTGGGTTTTAGGATTCAGGGTTTCAGGGTTTAAGGTCTGGGGTTCGGGGTCTACAAGTGTTGAATCATGCTTCTCAGGGCCAACATAATACTGAATGGGGTTCACTAGAGCATCGAACCTTTCGGAGCAAGACATAACCCAAGAGTCGAGGATCACAAGGTTTCCAACGAATACACAAGGTATAGCACTACCCATAGGCCCCAAAGTAGTTCCTGTTGGGGATTACCTTATAGGATTCTATATCTGAACGCCAAAACGGAACTACTTTGGGGCCTTAGGGTATATATAACCATCGACCACTTCGCTCATCAGAGAAATGAAGCATGTCGCGTGTATTAAACATAGGCACTTTCGCAGTCGAACCCCTGGAGACGAGCATCCATGTTAGCAGCCATATGGTTCACCTACTTGATCGGGATGTTGGACTTGACACAGGAGTGTTTCACGTCTGCTTTGGTAAACGGGGCCGAGACTTTGAGAGATTTCGAGCTGGCTGCCGTGCCTTGTGGCCCGGTGTCTATCCTTTCAGGGTTCAAGGCTTTCCCAAATCTCATTGCGCTGTTGTTGGCAATTTAACTCGAATCCACAGTCGGTCTTGCGAGCTTCGGGGACCCTAAACCCTAAACCCTAAAGCATGGGCGGAAGGTGCTGCACTGGTGAAAAGGTTGTGGTTTAAAGCTTAGGCTGTAGAGTTTGGGGTTCATTTGTTCATGCGTTGCACGGCTCGAACTGCGATATGAGACTTGAATGTGGCAAGGTTCACAACAAGGTGTTCGTGAAACAGCTTGGCGGCATGATGTGTCTTGCTGCCCAGCCCCAGGTACAAGCTATAGCTGAACACATCGAGGCCCGGTTTAGCCTATGGGAAGCACTTCCTAAGCAGGGTGACGAGCGAGACTGTACTGTCACTCCCTCCCTCCCTCCCTCCCTCTCTCTCTCTCTCGCTCTCTATACACGTCTCTCTCTCTCTCTCTCTCTGTGTCTCTCTGTCTCTCTATGTATACATACATATATATATATATATATATATATATATAGGCACGTAAATACCACATCCTCGGACCCTGCAAAGTGCTAAACCGAAAGCAGTAGGCCTTGTCAAACAGCTTTTCAAGAAATCTTAGCCCACGGCCGAGAAGCCGGCAAATCAATCCAAAGCAGCACACCGCTTCAACCAAGCCAAGCTACCGTTTCGAAGGCGATTCTTAATTCTATGATATTGCGCATATTGTATAGTATATCATCAGTCCCAGACCTAAACTCCAGCTTCTGAAGGTTTGAAGCCCACGCCGTCAAGCCTAACACCTCCGAAGGAAGCTCTTGGCAGCACCTGCGTGAGCCTCGAAGCCTGGTTGAGGGCTTATAGGGTTTAGGGTTTTAGACCCCCGAACCGAAGCTTTTGCGAGTGCTGTCCGAAAAGCAGTGGGTCTTGAGCACTACTGTCACTACTGCGGAGGAATGAATAGGAGCCCACCTTGGCCGGAAAAGCCTCGGTCGCAACAGTCCGAGACCAAGCATGGAAACAAGGGCCTTAATTAGAACAAGGTCTCGGATCACAATCTAACTGCGTAAGAAGTATAATCTATGAACACGGGATGTTAGTACAGCCAGTCAGCCGGTGGTCAGAAAACCGCACAGAAGCGTTGCGGCACACTGGCGCTGCTGCTTTCGATGATCAATAGTCCGACAACTCATGCATGCAGCATTCACGGTACGCTGTGAAGTTTCGGTTCTTCCATGACCGGAAACTATGGACTCACGAAAGCAGGGCCAGCAGCACTGGTGTCCAGTCTTTGGGGGAACGCTGGGGCCCGAGCATCCAGCACCCTTCGTATCATGCATCCGGACTGGAAAGATTGCATGCACGTGGAAGACAAAACTAGACAAACATGGCCGTCGGACTCCGGCATACTTGACGAAAGAAGTGCAGACTAGACGGGAGACGCTGTCTAACCGGCCTGCTAGCTGGAGAACAAGCAGCACCGAATTTCTTTCTCGCAAGGGAAGGCAAAGCCCCACGAACCATAACATCGGATGGCGTGTGTAAGTTCACGTGTCGATTTCGAGTGAACAGGCAGGCATTACAATGCCCCGGCTGCAAGCAGACTTCTTAACTTCTTAAGCACAAGCTCGTAGTGGCACTGTGTGTGTGTGTGTGTGTGTGTGCTGAATGAGCGGCTTTCTTCGAGCATGCCTGCGAGACCGATTCAGACCGACAACCGGCGGGTGACCTGAGCACCCAAAAAGCTCAAAGTGCCTTCGGCGTCTTCCGCAACAGTATGTGTGGGGATCTCAGGCAGAAGATGCTTTCGACATCATCCGATCTTCGAGGGAGTCTTCACCCCACACCATCTTCATGGGATAGATAGTTTGATAGATAGATGGACAGAGAGATAGATAGATGTATAGATGGACCGGTAGCTCGATCTAGATCGACAGGTCGATCGTTAGGATCGACGGATCGATAGACCGATCGATGAATGGAGAGACAGCTTCGATAGGTAGACCGACAGATGGATAGATAGATAGATGGATAAATTTGGGGCCCGACTAGCAGGGATGCTATTCCTAATTGTTCAGACATTTAGTATTATGCCACTTGCGACAACTTCGGACGGACATGAAGCTCGATGCACTGAAGCAAAGACCGTCCAGTTGTAGGGTACAACGCTGTATAACACCGATAAACAAGCTGGGTCCAGCAAATAGGCATGCGGCTGCAGCAAGACTGCAAGCATTTACGTTCATCACGGGTTAGCCTTCTGACGGGCAGTCTGATGGCGGCTACGTGCTTGAAATACTGCAACTTACTTAAGTACTTACGCATCCCAATACCATCGCGGAAGCTGGTGTTGTGACTTCTCACATAGTATCATGGAGCGCTCTCTCAACTCTGCGAAAACCGCGAGTCCGCCGGGCTCGCTGAAAACGAAGGGCGCTGATATAAAGTCTTGCAGTGCAAGGTGTTCTCACAAGCTGAAGTACATGCTAAAGACACTGCTTTCGGGGGCAGAATCTCTTGCGGTCCCAACACGTTCTCAGTGGCTCGCTTCACGCCGGAACGAGGCAAGTGGGAGAACGCACACACGAAGAGAATCGCATACGTGGTCCTGTAGGTGCAGACTGACTTATTAGCTGCTTAGCTTTAAGAGATTAACTCACGCGGCCTCCAACCGGGCAGGCACATTGCTGACCCCTGCAATGCAAGCTTCAAAGACTATTCATGTGCAGCCTAATCGGCCTAATCCTCACTCGTCTGCCTCCGGGATGATACGATGTCCGTGAAGGCATCAGGGAACTGCTCCACCGTTTTCTTGAATCCGTTCATGATAGCCAGGTGTCTCTCATGGAGAAGCCGATTCGGCGCACGGGGCACATCGCTTGGAAGGTTGCAGTTCCAAGTTGCGGAATCCCAAGACGACTCGATCATGAGCTGCGGCTTCCCTGCTACTTGGCCCTGCTCCGTCAACTTGGGATGTCCCTGCGGATCGTGTGGATGGATGGGGATCCCTGCTGCACACCCCATGGCTCGATTTTTGGGATGTCCCTGCGGACGACCGACAAGGCCGATCCAGGTCGGCGCTTCTTCTTGTGCTTCGAGCCACAAACTTTCGCAAAGCTTATAGGATGTAGGATGAGTGGGGATTTGGTTTTACGGGTCACAGTCGTGATTCAAGGTTCTGTTCCAGGTTCAACATCGCACCCCGGCTCCCGAACAGCAGCTCACCATGAATCAAGCGGTAACGTGAAACCGATGTGGCCTAGCACGAGGAAGCCGCCATCCACGCCCCAGCGACCCTCCCAGCGAGCATCTTCCAACCTCGCAGTGTTCGAAGATGTACGGTTGATGATATAAATCCTGCATGAAGAAGGAATATACCATACTTTCCATAGTTTAGGGTCCTTAAGGTAATGCAGGATTTATACCATCAACAGTATGGCTTATTTTTTTAGGTTATTGACACAGATACCGTTCGAAAGCAACACAGAGACTCACAGCAAGAACATCCCAAGAATCCCCGAGCAGATCGTTGTTTCAATCTTACATACCTCAAGTCTAATAACCACAGGCTACTGCGCAACATCGCACCTAAACCCTTCTCGCTGAACCCTCAACCCCTGAACTCTAACCCCTAATCTAGCTTGAAAAGACGAGCCGTGACCGTCTTGAAGAACTTGAGGAAGCCAAGAGCAAGTATAGGGCCACCATACTTAAAGGATCATGGGACTTAGTAACTAGGGTTATAAGTAAGGTAGCTGTACTAATAATTACCTTATAACCCCAATTAAGGTACTTATAACCCTAAGTACTAAGTCCCATGATCCTCCAAGTACTTGGGATAGGATTTAGGGCTCAAGGTCTATTGATAGTGAGCATAGGGTTGAGGGTATAGGGGCCTTCAAAATACTGGGAATAGGGTCGCGGGGCCAGTTATACTATATCTATATAGGGGCTATAAGAGACCGCTTCTTATACTATAATTACTACATATGCCCTGAGCAAACTTTGATGAGCCCCACACCCGAAATGTCGGTTTAACCCGTACGAGTAGGTCCAGGACCTCGGGCTTGGGTTGGGTTTGGGGCTTCGGGGTTTTTGGGGCTTGGTTAGACTCTCATACCTTTCAGGCCCCTTGTAGCGGCCTGTTCCTTAAGAGTTCATTGCCCTATTAGCGATGGCACATTGAAGCCCCAAACCATCAACCTTCAATAGGGCAATGATTTCGCTGTAGCTGCAACGAGCTCCGAGGGTACAATTTAAGGCTGGAGTGATCCCACCATCTCGTTAAACAAAGGGGCACGCGCGCAAACTACTCCTGTGCTCGAACCACCTACTGCCAGCTGCCACGAAAGGAGCACGTCGCCAACACCCGGCTGCCCATCCCCCGCAAAGTTCAACGCCTGCAAGGGGCGCAGCCGAATCTCATATTATACCTCAAAATACAATAAACGATTCTCTAACATACTATAATATGATATACTATACGGTAATATTATACATTATACTATATTTTGAAACCCCGCTAGTTGAGGGGCCCCTGAACCTCGGAGTAAAGGTGTCAGACCTGCTGTTACCGCTGCCGGGGTCCGGGATCTGAAAAAACAGGGGCTCTGAATGTATCGCGAGAATCAGGTTTAGAAGGGTCTTTTTTACACTATCAACTGATTCGGGAATCAGGGGGAATATTCATCAATCCTAGGTCCCAGGAGCTGTGGGGCACTTTCAGGCAAGATCAGGGGATCCAAGCAAAGACCCTGCGGGCTCAGGAGCTCGACTTCGGTGTCGAGATTGGGGTTTTTGACGCATAGGGCTCAGGGCATCCGGGCCGAATTATTCAGAGTTCGAGTCTGGAGCAAAACGTTGAAGGCCTAATATAGGGGCCTTCATAATTGGAATAGGGTTTTGGGGCCCGCTGTACTATATTTATAGTAAGGAAACCCCCAAAAATAGTATTCAACGCTGAAGTTATTGCTCCTCCGGGCTTCATATCTATAAATAACTCTACTAAGGTATACCCCCGACACCCATTTTGCGGCCCCCATAAAACGAACATCCGCAGGCACCAGAACGGCAGAGGCAGAGGCCCTAATACAGGGATTCTCGTACACAAAGAAGGTTGAAGGTTACCTACTAGGTTTGTGTTTTTGGTTTCGAAATTCATCTATAGATCTGCTACATGCACACTTGACATTGGCACACTATCAACAAATGAGTCGACCAGTCAACCAATCAATCAATCAACCAACCAAGCAATCCATCCATCCATCCATCCATCCATCCATCCATCTATCTGGCCTTCTGTCTGTATGAATGCATAGTTAGATGCATACCATACACGCATACATACACCTATATGTTTGTGCAGTTGTAAAGTAAAGCTGGGGCGGGCTAAAGAAAACTTGGCTCTATTGAACCGCCCCTGTTTGTTGTCATTATGTGCAATGGATGACACAGCGGCGCAGCGGTTCGACAGCACAAAATTTTATGAAAGGAAGTTGTGCCATCGAACTGACCTTCGCTGTCCTCATTGTTGGAAAACGCAGCGGTTCGATAGCACGAAATATTCTGAAAGGAAGCCCTTCAGAACATTTGGTGCTATCGAACCGCCACTGTTTGTTGTCAGTGTTCGAAATGGATATGGATGCTTGTCTGAAGACCAATTGTCGAAACAAAAGCCGTTCCATCAATTAGACTAAACCTCAATTCCAAAAAAAAGATTACCCTATGCTACGATCCTTAAGCCCATACACCGCAAACCCGGCCCGAATCCATCCGCAATCGCGGCCTCGAAAGAGGTCCAAACTTCGTTCCGAAGTTCGGTCCAAGCCTCCTCGTCCTTTGCACCACTTCAGAACGGGTATGTTTATTGCATACATCGGGGTTGGGGTTTAGGCTTAGGGTTTATGGGTTAATGGCTTAAGAGCTGGAATTTGATTAATTATGTAGGTCGGGATTTGGGTTTAGGGTTTATGGGATTGTGACTTGAGAGCTTGTTTTTTGGCTTGAGCTGGCCTTGTTTCCTTGTTGGCTTGGCGTTTGGGTCTAGGGTTTAGAGTTTAGGGGTTCAACTGTTTATGAGTGTAGGAGTTTACGCTATGAGGTTGGGCTGCATCATGATGTAAACTCATCAAGGTTTTGCCAACTGCAACGTGTCGCTTGCGGAAACACCCTGCCTCCGTGGCGTCGCGGGTCTGGCCAGCAGCTGTTGCAGCGAGCACTGCTCCCGCACGGCGAAGTGCACTCACGGCGCCTTAGCGGCTTCAGGCAAGAAAGCCTTTTGGGGCTTCGCTTCGGGCTTGGGATTTACACTTTGTAGCGCTTAGGATCAAAGTTGTCTGTATGAGGGGTGATTGAAGAGGAATCAAGAAGGCATTCGGTCGCAGGTGTGAATAGCGATTGCTGCCAAAAGGCATTTCAGCGCTTCGTTCTCACCTGAGACGCCGGGGATTTGCGGTTTGGTGCACATTTTTCTGATGCCGAAGCCCCTCGTTGATGAATTTCCAATATCCGCCCACCAAAGAGGTATATTTGACGAAATCCAGGCAGGCTGTATTGCATTCTTATCCCGACCCCACAGATGAAATGCGCGAAGACGAAAGCGTGGACATTTGGGAAGGTGCGCAAAGTGAGGGAGCCCCAAAGGTGAAGCGACAACACCCTAAACCCTAAACCATGTACCCTAAATCCAGGATTGAGGGCTGAGGGCTGTGGAAACGGCTATGGGTGCAGTTCGGGGCCGGGCATGACCGGGTATGACAGGATCATGCTGTTCAAGCTCAGCGTTTCAGACTGGTCTCAGCAAGAGTATGAACATAGTGCTGCCACTGCTGAGCCTGCTGGCTTGCACGGCCGTCGAAAACCCACACTTGTTTCGACTGTTTCAGATACGGCTTCGGTGCGGTATAGGGGCTTCCTGGTCGGGGTATAGAGATACCAAGCTTTCGCCCTGCTCCACAAGAACTGCGCGGAGTCGCGATCACGAAGTTCATCGATGCCACGATCCGGCGCCAAGAAGATACTAACGACCTCGGAACACACTGTCTGAAACGGGAGAAGAAGAACCGAAAATATCAATCAAGCCCTTCACCCTCATCCCTAAACCCCGAGCCCTAAGCCCTAAACCCTAAACCCCTAAAACCCTGAAAGTTCAGTCGGCAAGTGCGGATCAAGAACCGACTCCAGGAGCTACTCAGGCACCCATTTCATGAGATGTGCTGCGGGACAGTCTATTGCAAACGGTTCAAAGACAAGCTCCAGCTTTGGCTTCGCATGTTGTAGGGGCCAGAGTCTAGAGTATAGTGGCTACAGCTCCCCCCAACGCGATCTCACACTGGCCTCTTGGCGCGTGGACGTCTCAAAAGCAGCCAAACAGCATCACAAACGGCTAAACCTGCATGTCCCCATGAACCCGAACAAATCACACACACACACACACACACGGACGTCCCACAAGCCCCAAATCGCACGGCCCATACACCGCTGTTGGGGCCCCCTGGGGATCCTCATCATCATTGTAGTACCATACATCCCAAAACCTCTTTCTTCTAATCACTACGGCCTCTATACTACCCTAAACTCCCGTTCATTGTAGTACCACATACCCCAAAATCCTGCTCTAGTTATTAAGGCCTCTATACTACCCTAAACTCCCGCTCATTGTAGTACCATATACCCCAAAACCCTGCTCTACAGCAGCTACTAAGGCCTCTATACTTCCCTGAACCCCGAGCTGCTCTTTCATTGAAACTGGGCATCCAGGCCGTGGCCACCACGATGCCCACGAGGACCTCGGCGATCGTCCGCTTCTCTCTGCATTCCGTACTTTTTTTTTTTTGGGGGGGGGGGCCCTGAATGGTTATACCCATAGGCTCCATGGTAGTTCCTTTTTGCGGTTCATATATAGAATCCTATAAGGTAATCCCAAGAGGAACTAGGAGCCTATGGATATAGCCATAGGCTCCATAGTAGCTCCTTCTTGAAAGGATTTTCACTAAGTTTAAACCACAAGAAGGAACTACATTGGAGCCTTTGGGTCTAGAACGGTATTCTTGGAGCACCTTTCTTATACTGTTCCCCCCCCCACATCCTATTAAACTTCTTAAGGTGCCCCTATTTTAATTGAACGTGTGCAGCCGAATCGGGCTGAGGTGCATGGCCCATCAATACTGAGACCAAGTAGGGGCAGCAGCACGGGTTGAGACACAGGTTTTACGACTCTAGTCGCAAGAAGCAGACTCTGCAGCTGTTGCGCTTGATGATGCTCTGGAATGAATGGAAAGATGCTCCAGTTCGCACAGAAAGTTCATTCATACCTCAAGAGTTCGGGGATGCCAGGCAGCAACAACTTCGGTGGTCAACAGGGACGGAAGTTCGCGGCTTCTAGGATCAAGGCCTAAGCCCTATATGACCAAACATATCATGTCTGGTGGTCCACGCCGAGCTCTCTTGGTGCTGAGCTGCATCCACACATCGGCGCACGGCAATGTCCATGGCTTTCGGCATGGCTGGTACTTCATTGTCCGCCTGAGTACAGCGAAGGTCGGAGCTTCAGGCCCCTTCGCTTACCTTTGGTTACTAGGGAATGGAAGAATGGTGGTATAGTAGTAATAGTAGATATACGGTAGTAGTATGATAGTAATATGATAGTAATATGGTAGTAATATGGTAGCAATAGTAGTTATATTTGTACACATTCCTCCATACCCTACTAGCCAAAGGTAAGTTCGGCCCAATGCCAGGCTACACCCTGACCAGCAAGTTTTTGTGTTTGGCGTCCAAGAAGCTGGGAGTCGGGCGTCAAAAATTGAAAGTCTGCTGCTAAGAGGGGCTAAACGAGTTCATGCATCAGGTAGCGCTGCTATATCGGTTGCGGACTTTTGGGTCTAAGCTTGGGGTTCGGGATGACGAAGCTTGGAATTCCAGAGTGAGGTTGCCCGATGTTCGTGCGGTTTTGTATCTCGACCTGGCTTGCAAGGATCTACAATTCAGCAGGTGTAGAACACATCTGGACTAGAGTTTTGGGGCATGTGACAGCATAGTTATTATTTGTCATTAGAAACCGTGAGGAATACTGTGTTCCAGGCTTCTCTAGATCTGTTATTCGTATTTGGTGCTGGAGGCGTGCTGCAAGGATTTCAGTCTTTTTGGTGTTGGATCTGTCTTCCCGGGCCTGCTGACGTGAATCACTAGAGTAGGGCTTTGGGGCATATGATGCTATGAGTAGTATAGGGACAGACAATGCATACCAGTAGGTAGTAATTCTTCCGACACCTGTATTATGACTTGCTGCTGGGCTTTCAGACGAGCTTCGACGAGCCTGTCTGCTAAGCTGGACAGCACGATCTGGTAAGTCACGAAGGTTACCTGAACATGCACGGATCTGGGGCTCACGGATTCGGGTTCGGACTTCAATTGAACAAATCCACGTATTCATGCTTGCGAATCGAAAGTCTTGGCTGTCTTCTCACCGATGTATGGTATCCCTATGACTTCTCGTTAAACCTGTCTCCCTTCTCTGAATGGGCTTTGAAGCATATGCATTCCTTGCAAAGAGAAAACTTGTGCACGCTGAGAGGCCGCTCCAGCATACTGCATCTCCTGCATAACGGACGATCTACTTGGAGGATCATGGGACTTAGTAAGTAGGGTTATAAGTACCTTAATTGGGGTTATAAGTAATTATAAGTACAGTTACCTTAATTATGACCCTAGTTACTAAGTTCCATGATCCTTTAAGTAGTGGAGGGTGCACCCCTTCTCCAAGCACTTATGTACTTATGTGCATGCGGCGCTCGGAACTACGTGGGATCCTTATATTACGGCTCCAAAGCTTCGGAGGCTTCGAGATGCAGGACTTAACTTAAGATTTAGAAGCCGTGAAAGCCACGAGGAGCCTGTAACAAGTCAGGAAATCCAAAGTACGGGCCCCAGCAGGGGCCCCATGATTTCAACATCCCTTTTGGCCTAAGGCCAGGCCCATGTGGGTAGTTGTCAAAATCATGGGGTCCCTTGTTTGGGTACCCTAAACTTTAGGTGCCGTATTATAGTAAGGACCCAAAAAGGAACCCTAATTTTGACAACCACCCATGTACCCCAGGAGGTGGGGATCCCAGGCTGTGGAGCCACTTCGGCAGATGAAGCTAAGTGTATAATAGGGTTTAGGGTTTAGGGTTTAGGTATAAGGCGTGCATCGAGTTTTTTCTTTTTGGCTCTAATCTGTAAAAAGCGTTAACTGTGCGGATTGGTTGACAGCTACACATGAAGCAATGCCAGCGTGGAGATTTGATCTACAAGGATGGAAAGCCCGTCAAACCTCTCCAACCTTCAGCCCCAGACAGAAACACATCCTAAACCCTAGCGCTGTAAGCCCCAAAGCCCTAAAACACTAAACCCCAAACCCTAAACCCCTAAACCCCAAACCCTACAACCCCAAACCCCTTGAACTCCGGTGGTCTCCAGCTCAAAGAACTTGAGGCCGAAGGCCATGAAGAAAATCTGAGACCAAAGGGCACGGAAGGTCGGTGCGGCTCCTTTCAGGAGAAGCTTTTCAGGGCTTTAGGAGCTTTACGGTTTACGGTTTAGGGGTTTAGGGGTTTAGGGTTTATAGGGTTTATAGGGTCTAGGGGTTTAGGGGTTAGGGTTTAGCGGTTTGGGGTTGAGGGGTTTAGGATTTAGGGGTTTTGAGGCTTGAAGGGGTGTTTGGGTTTTTCGATGGTTCGGGGTGTCGAGGTTTTGCGGCGCAGGGGCGGCCTGATTGATTTCTTGAGGGATTTAGACTTGAGGTTTCCTCTTGCCCTGCTACTTGCTTCTTGGGAAGGTCAGCCTCATCCCAGGTAAAGGTGTAATGTATGGGTCTGCACAATTAGTAGCATGGGCCTCTTGCATTCCGTATATATAGGTTCCGCACCCAGGCCTCGTGCGATGAAACTCCATGATGCTGAACACATGCTACACCCTACACCGCCCAGAACCGAAGCCCTAAACTGTAAACTCTGAACCACATGCCCTGAAAGACTATGACTACAAGAGCAAGCGCGGACCTGAACGCCCGAGAATCCTCAACAGAAGTAGGGTTTGCGGGTTTAGGGCTTTAGTGTTTAGGGTTTAACAGCAGTGCCCGAGTACCTTACACCAGATCGAAAGTCCGACTGAGGTCAAAGAGACAACATATGACAGCTTGAAAGTGAGTGAACACTCGAATTGCAGCGCTGAAAACTCAAGCTAAGGTCCACTGGACTGGAAAGCTTTGAAGACCCAAATTTTAACCCCATACATCCTGAAACTATAGTACAGACCGTAAACCCCACGTCCTATACACTCACCATCGTGTAGTCCCAGACCTCAAGGACCTAAGCCCTTAAGCCGCCCAGCCCATAAGCCCGCAGCGCGCTAAACTGCCCTAAACCCTAAGTCCAGAACCCCAAACCCCATAAACCCAAATCCCTAAAGGCCCCACAGACCCTAGAACCCTAAACCCCAATCCCCAGAAGCCTAAACCCTAAACCCCTAAACTCCTAAACCCCTAAACCTCTAGGATCCCCAGAAGCCTAAACATAGTAATAATAGTAATAGTAATAGTACTAATAGTAGTAATCGTAATAATAGTAATAATAGTAATAATAGTAATAATAATAATAGTAATAATAATAGTACTAATAGTAGTAATCGTAATAATAGTAATAATAGTAATAATAGTAATAATAGTAATAATAGTAATAATAGTAATAATAGTAATAATAGTAATAATAGAAATAATAGTAATAATAGTAATAACAGTAAACCCACGCAGCCGGGGCCTAGAAGCGCCACCGAACCGACGGCCAGGACCGAGCCGACCACGGTCCCCAAACCTGGGATTCTGTTTTTTTGATGTAGGAACCTTAGGGTCCTATAAGGGTTCCTCTAAAGGGTACTATAAGGGTACTATAATAAGTGCTATGAGGGGTTTGTGGGGTTTGATGTAGGAACCTGATTGAGAAACCCTGGGGCCTTTATTGGGGTTCTATAAGAGTTCCTGCTGGAGCGAACCAGCAGGCTGAGAGGTAGACACAAGTGGAGTAGCTAATTCCCTTGTCCCATACTCCCCAGAACCCGCCATGGCTCACTCAGTAGGCGGAGATTTTACACGCAAGCGAACAAGAAAGGAAACGTGAAGTCTGTGCTACCTTGGACATGGCACCTACAACTATGGTACATGTGTTTTGTTTAAAAGCATGCTCAAGGCTCAAACTGTGCATAGCCTAAAGAGCGACGGAAAAATGAACATGTACAACTGGCATGAGCTGCAAAGGTGGCATGCACTTCAGCACTCCTCCTTCGCGGCCCCGCCAGGGAGCTGCGACCTACTTGCTACTGCAGGTCCAACCCGTCAGGGTGACGACACACCTACCCTGAACTACCTGGCAAAAGCTGGGCCAACTGCCCTCACTATGCGAGGGCTCTCAAGGCACCTCGTGTGGGAAAAAGACACAGCTACGGATGAGCTCACTGAGAGATCCAACCCGTTAGGGTGGAGTAGTTCCTACCCTGTGCTGTGCTGGGTGTGGTCTGCAGCGCTCCCGTGGCACTGCTGGCACACTTGAAACTCAACAAACCTGTGCGAGTGGGCGAGCGTGGAACAGGTCTTAGCGCGGTGGAGCTTGGTCCCTTCGGGTGTTGCAAAGTAACGCGTTGGTGCTCCACCTGCCTGCTCACGCGTGCGAGTTGTTTGTGAGGGGCGGCGTCTGGGCGCTGCAGCAACAGACTGCGAGCTTGCTGCCTCCTCACGTGCAGAGATCTCGGCCTGGATGGCCTGCGCAGTTTGATCTCGAAGGCGCTGTAACTTGCGCGCCTTGCGGGGGCTCAGAGACAACACGGGTGTCCCTGCCTCTCGGCGGGAGATGACGCCTTGAAGGCACCACTTGAAGAACTCCCACACTGCAATGAAGCAGATACCAATGCAGATGATGGATACTGCCAACATCAAATCTGCATCAAGCGACACGGGGAGAGACAAGTCTTCTTCCTCGTCCGTTGTCTGGCTGGCAGCACCTACGACCTGAAAGAAGGCGAGCAGGACAGCGAAGGCACTCAGCTGCAGGTCTTGCTGCGCCACGGTCCCAGTGCCCACAGCTTGAGTTTCACTGTAGGCCTGAGCTTCCGCCCGGCGAGGTACGCCATGCTCAAGCAAACCCCAGATGGCTGCGAGCTCAAGGATCCTCGCAGATGGCAGTGCTTTCGTCAGAAGATCTGCGGCCTGCTCAACACCTGGGCAGTAAACAGGGATGATTTCTCCTGCCTCATACTGCTCGCGCAAGTAGTTGGCGCGCACCCTCAGGTGGCGGGTTCGCCAAGACCCGTGACCGATAGCGATGGCCAGTGCAGACTGTGAGTCAACCCTCAAAGTCTTGTCGAAGCTAGAAACCCCGAACTCACTCAGCATGGCCTCTGCTGACTGAAGGGCAACTACAGCGTCAAGTCCAGCAACAAGCTCGGCTTCTGCGGTGCTGAGGGTGACAAAAGACTGTCGTGCTGAACGCCAGCACACCGGCGACCCGTGAAGGAAAACCACCCACCCCGTGTGAGAACGATTCCCTTCCGGCGCATAGCTGGCATCACTATACGCGATCAATCCTGTGTCATCCGCGTCAGCGGTGAGGGATAGCGCCTTGGTACGCTGCACATACGCAAGGGCCTTTTCTGCAATGCGGATGGCTCGTTGCGGCGCCTTCGTGCTGAGAGAGGCAAGCACACAAGCAGTGAAAGCTAAGTCAGGCCGAGTGCGTTGGCTTAGCCACAGGATTTCTCCAGTCAGCCTCTGTGCTGTTCGAACGGTCTCCTCGGTTGGGGACTCGTCCGTCAGGAGAGTGTCAAACGAAACAAGGTCACGCGGACAGGGGACCTTACCTAGTGCAGTGGGCTTTACGTTGTTGAGACGCAGCAGCTCTTCGGCGTAAGCCTGCTGGGACAACACAAACCCGGAACCTTGCACTAGGATTTCAACCCCTAAAAACCTCAGCGGGTGCTCTGCGGTGGCAAGTGCGAGAGGCGTCGTTTTCCAGATGCCCTGGATGGCCGTAGCCAAGGCTTCGATCACCTCTTTACTGCCTGCAAGCAAAAAGTCGTCAACGTAAGTGAGCAACCCTCCTACGACTAGCCCGTCAGAGGTGCGAACAACACGCCACCAGTTTGGGTCCAACCTTCCTTGCTGGAGCTGCAGTTCAACTCCGTCAACAACACACCTCAGCGCCCGAAGTTGGCAGTCTCTGAAGTCCGACCAAAGCTTAGGCGACTCCCTCAACCCGTACACAGCGTGCGTGAGGATCCAAAGCTCCCCTTCCTCTGCCAAACCTAGTCTCACTTGCAACGCGCCAGCGGGCTGTTCACGCGCGCCAATGAGGAAAGAAATGCTGCAAGCGTCGTCCCTGCCGAGTGATTCGTATCTTGCACTACAGCCGCGCGGCGTGCAAAAGTTCCAATTTTTTTCCATTTTCGCTGCACCCTCCACGTTTTCGCTCTGTCAGAACAACCAGGCTGCATCATGCGGCACTTCGCAGTAGTGCGACGGATCGCATCCCAGCAGTCCCGCTCTCTCTGTACGATGAAGACGCAAGGCCTGGAAAATGGGCTTCAAGCCAGGTTTCCGCAACAGGCGACGGGCAAAAGCAAGGGTCGTGTGCGCATTGCGAGGTGCCATTCTGCCCGTAGCATTGAGACTGCGCAACTGGTTCTTGCCGACAGCAATCTGGCTCTCGCATTGATTATCACCACCCACAACTCGAACATTTCTCTTCTTGGAGTCTGATCTGGACGTTATCACGGTTGCCACATGGATGCTCTGCGGGAATGGATGGAGTCTGATCTGGACGTTATCATGGTTGCCACATGGATGCTCTGCGGGAATGGATGGAGTCTGATCTGGACGTTATCATGGTTGCCACATGGATGCTCTGCGGGAATGGATGGAGTCTGAACTGGACGTTATCATGGTTGCTCACATGGATCTGCGTCATGGTTGCCACATGGATGCTCTGCGGGAATGGAGTCTGATCTGGACGTTATCATGGTTGCCACATGGATGCTCTGCGGGAATGGATGGAGTCTGATCTGGACGTTATCATGGTTGCCACATGGATGCTCTGCGGGAATGGGTGGAGTCTGATCTGGACGTTATCATGGTTGCCACATGGATGCTCTGCGGGAATGGATGGAGTCTGATCTGGACGTTATCATGGTTGCCACATGGATGCTCTGCGGGAATGGATGGAGTCTGATCTGGACGTTATCATGGTTGCCACATGGATGCTCTGCGGGAATGGATGGAGTCTGAACTGGACGTTATCATGGTTGCCACATGGATGCTCCATGGGAATGGATGGAGTCTGATCTGGACGTTATCATGGTTGCCACATGGATGCTCTGCAGGAATGGATGGAGTCTGATCTGGACGTTATCATGGTTGCCACATGGATGCTCTGCGGGAATGGATGGAGTCTGATTTGGACGTTATCATGGTTGCCACATGGATGCTCTGCGGGAATGAATGGAGTCTGATCTGGACGTTATCATGGTTGCCACATGGATGCTCTGCGGGAATGGCTGACGTGGGCTGTAGCAAGTGCCGAACACACCGTAATTACCGGTGTGTTCGGCGTATGGCCCTAAGGAATCACCACAAATACCGAGGGAATCGGCAGGTGCAAAATTTGGGTTTCAGTAGGTGCCGAATGCACCGTAATTACCGGTGTGTTTGCCATGCGACACGAAGGAAACACCGTAAATACCGAGTCAAAGGAGGCGCACAATCTGCGCGTGTACAGCCTGCTGGAGGGAACAACCTAGGCGGCGTGAGAGCAAACACTGGAAAACCTCTGCCTTGCGGGATTGGGGTCAACAGAAAAGCTGAGGTGACATCTAGAGACCCGATGCACCAATTCCTCTTGGAGCTGATGATTACAAAACAACGGAGTGTCTCTGCAGCAGCACCTGAAGCGTAGACTTCAGACCCTGTGCCGGGGGCGTGGTTGCCACAAGCGACCAGGCGAGCCTTGCGCTTGTGGTAAGCCTGACCCTTCCGGGTAGCGAGGGAGGCTTCAGCAGGGTCTGGTGGCTTGACTGTGAACACAAACTTAGACGGAACCACCTTCACTTCCTTGCGCTTTAGCCAACCTCCGGAACGGACCTCTGCAGGGGGCAGTCGCCGCACAGCCTTCTCAATGACACCGATCTCCTTGTGAATGGACGGCATCCACTTCTCGATGCATTGCTCTGCATCCCGAGGGTCTACAGTGTGGACTACCTGCAGTGGTTCTTGCAACCCGTCAAGCAACAGCTCTACGTTGGTAGTGTAAACCGGCTCAGACTTGCAAAGGGCACAAGCTTCACTCGCGTCCGAGTCGTCAGACCTGAGAACACACAGCTGCTCACCTGTCTGCGGGTGTGGAACCCACAACTCCCACAGCACTGGTTGTTCCGGCAAGGAGTCTTCGCTTAAGCCCTCCTCCTCCTCCTCAACCTGTGTCTCGGTGTCTGGTTGGCAAGCCAGCAGGGCGTGCTCAGACTGGGTTCGCCTTTGGTCCGGCGAGTGTTTCAGGTTCCACGACACCTCCAGCTCTACAGTACCTGCTTCTACGGCTTGGGTTTCTTTCCAACCTCCGCCTTTAAGCACAGTCCCAGGCGCTAACTCAGAAGTCTTCCCGTCAGGGTGACGTGCCTTTGTCTCCTGAAGGGGCTCTTCTTCGAAGCAGTCAAACGCGTCTAGACGTCTCACGTCTTGCTGCTCAGTCAGCGGTAAACGTACCGACGCTGGGAGTGGAAAACCTAAAGCTTCAAGGCTTTGAAACTCGTGCTCAAGCTCTTTGCCTAACGTGTTGACAGTGTAGCCGACAAGCACTGCTCTCTCACCCTTCCAGGGAGTGGTGGCGTGGCGGCGAGTAGGGTCTAGGAAGAAGGGCTTACCGCGCTCTAACTTGTGAGTTGTCCCTAACCAGCGCCTACCTTTGCCGTCTACCCGCTCCTCTACAGGGCCACTGACTAGGTCACCAGGCTTGAGTTCTATCCACAAATCCCCTCCGTTAGGCGGGAGCTTCAAAGGGAGGACTACATTTGTGGATCCCTGCAGGTTGTGGTGGTCGGCGTGCACGGGTTGAACAGTGGAATTAGACAACCAAAGCGAGGTGTACTCAGCTGTGGGTGCAACTGCGGAAAGCACCATATTCATAAGCTCTGTCAGCCAAGGCTTATCTGTGGTACCCCCTAAAACTCCTACGACACCTCCGTGACGGTACAACCCAGCTTTGTGTTGCAGCTGGGGCGCTGCTCTGCACACTTCGGCTAACACCCACAACGCTTCATCAAGGTCCCAGTCGTCCTCGATAAGCTCCGTAGCTAAACCTTCGAGGTCTTGCAGACTCAAGCGCGCTACACGGGCAGACTCCTCCTCAACCGGTGACACAGGCCCTTCCGGGTGTGGAGCTTCTGCTGGCGGCGGCAAGGGAGGCGGCGGGTCAAGTGCAAACACGTCGTCAAGTCTCACACCAGCAGACCGCTTGCCGCGAACCCTGCGTGGAGGTGGTGTGTGCTCCTCCTCAAGCGAGTCTCCTACAAACTGCAAGGGCGGTGGATCCGGAGAAACAAGGCGGGTGCGAACATGGAGTGTTTGCACAAAGCCGTTGCCAACACCATCGCTGCGCAACACGATGTGACCATCATTCACAGATGGTGACAACCCCATATACTTACCTTCAACCCATCTATCCTCCAAATCACCCTTCTTGCTAAAAAACTTTCGCTTCACGGAACACTTCCCTCCAAAATGGATGGCAAGCTTGGACTTCATGCCCAGCTGCTGCGCCCGTTGCTGAGCTGCAGCTGTCATGATTGCACAAGGCCACAAGGACGAGTCGACCTCGCCAGAGGTGAGAAGGGTTCGTGCTCGTGCTTTGAGCCAGCGCACGGTGTTCTCAGCAGAGCCGTTCTGCTGCGGAACGTCTCCTTCTGTTGTTGTTGTGCGGACTCCACGCTCGTGAAACCAAGCTCGAGTCCTTTTGTTGAAGAACTCACGACTGCGGTCTGTGTGGAAACGAAGCACGGGGAGGTTTAGGGACCTTAGGGAAATGTACACCTGTTGGAGGGCATTTAGGATATCATCACCCTTGTTTGTGTGAAGTGGCACTGCAAACACCAGCCTCGCCATGTCAGGCGGTGTTTCGAGTTCACACCTGGCTGACTCCCAGGGATGCTCCTCGGCAACTTTGGCTGCAAACTCCCTAGGCCCTTCAACTCCTTCACCTTCCCCCTCCTCCTCTTCTTCCGCTAAACTTGGCTCGTACAGGGAGTCCTCGTAATCCTCGTGCGGGGGGCCTTCTGCTGCGGGAAAGGCCTCATCTGCAAGGTCATCCGTCCCTCCCGGGAGGAGTGCTGCATCATCAAACCCCTCGGTTTGGCTGGGGTCTGACTCCTCCTTCACTCCTTTGAGCCGTGGGAAGCGGTACGACACAGCGAGGAAGTACTTGAACGTGGCTGGTCGGTGGTTGCGGCTTTCTGGGTCTTTGCCCTTCACACGGATGGGCCCCGCAATGTCGGCTGACATGCAATACACATCCGGGTGAACTACACCGTGGTGGCGGCGGCCGTTTCCGGCACCGTGCACGCAAACTGCACAATCACGGCGGTACGGCACGTGATTGTTCGCAACATGCTGTTCCCAATCCGCTTGGGTGAATTTCATGATGCGGTAACAGGGCCAACGTTGGAGTGCGTACACGATGGCTTGCACAAACCCCGGCGCCCACACTGGAGACACACGGCTGTCGGCGCTACCACAAACCTGCGATACCTCACCCTGAAACGCTTGCAAGTCTCTAAGGTCGGGCAAGTTGGTGCCAACAGTTGTGGGTTTATCGCCCGCGTGCCCCAACGGACCTTGACGGAAATGCACCTCAAACAAACCAGCCTCTTCAGCGTAAGTTTGCCACAGCGCGGTATTCCAAAACGACGGGGCGCTACCCACAGCAGAATGGCTTGAAGCCATGTGGTGTTCAACCGACGGTTGCTCCAACATGAATGCCACCATGGATGTTCCATCCGACGGGTTAGGGTGCACACGCCTCCCGGCGGTGGAAAGTGCATGCAACCACAACATGCGAGCATACAAACCCGTATCACGATCAACGAGATCACGCTCGTCAGAGGTGAGAGTGCTCAGGCCAAACGGTTCAGTGGGCGAGCGGAGTGGATGTGGTCCATCAGCGCGGTGCCCTGACATGGACCACGTGCGGGTTGGTGGACCTCCAATGACCGCCGCAACTCGTCCCAACTTTGCAACCTTAGCAAGAAGCGTCCAAAGCGGATCATGGTAAAGATCTTGGCTCCTTGAGCGGCAAATGTCAAGCTCAACAACAACTGTATCCTGCGACTCCAATCGTTTGAAAGCCTTGTGCGAGCCAGGGCCCGCAAACAAGTGAACAACCCAATTGGATGCTCGATGAAGTGCCTTCCTCCTTCGCCGGTTGAGGTTTGGCATACCTTCTTCAAGAGCTTTCCACAAAGTCTTGGAGTCCACATCTTCCGATGGGAGTAGGCCTGACAATGCACGATCGGGCACATCCTGAAAGAATGGCGCCGTGGATACTGCCATGTGGCCCGCTGCTGGCGCTGACGAGCTAACATGCTCCACCAAATGATCCCACCATGTGCGCTGCATCGCGATTTTCGCCTGTCTGATGCGATCCTTCCCCTCATCCGTTCTTCGCCTGAGCTCCTCAACCTGTTGCATTTTGTGTTCCTCCAACCGTGATATCAGCGTAAGGGCCTGGCTCTCTACCAATTCCGGGCAACCATTTTTGACCCTAAGCCTCAACGACTTACCATCGGGAGGATACAGCTTGCAACTACCGGCTGACCAAACCAGTTTATACCCAAGTTGCTCGATGATTGCGCCCATTGGGACTATTGGCTGCACTAGGCCATCCCTCCCGGGAGGCAGGAGCAAAGTACCTGAGGATGTGAGCCGCATTGTTGTGGTGGTATCGCCGGCTAGGCTCACCTGTACTTCCGATGCGGCCTCCCACTCCTCCTCATCCATGGCCTGCCTCATGGCATGGGTGGCCCCAGAGTCCAAAAGCGCATATGCTATGGGTTTGGGGGCCTCAAGCAACCCCCCATTCTCGGCTCGAGAATGGGGGTTTGCCAAACCCTGATTTTTGGCATTTCCCAACCCCCGAGTTGGAGCCTCCTGATGGGGGGGTTGGGAGTCCCGGTTTGGGAGACCCGAAACCGGGAAACAGCTTGCGGGCACGACTGAGCGAATCGTCAGCCTCTTCACCGAAGGATTGGGTGCAGACGATGCGGGCGCAGCCGGTGCCGGTGGCACTGAGGGCTGCTGCGATGCAGTACTCAAGCCTTCCGGCTGAGGTTGAGGCGGCTGGGCTTGCGGCGTGGTGCCGCTGCACGGTGGATTGGCCTCCAACTGCCGCAAAGCCTGGACTGCCTGTTGCATGAAGGTTTCCATGTTGAGCACTGGCGTGGCTTGGACAACGGGTTGGCCCGAGGATGTGGGGGATGAGGCTGCCTGTACGGAAGGTTTTTGATCCGGTGCTTTGGGTTCCGCCTTACCGGCCTTGCAATCCTTAGCGCGATGCTCCTCGGAACCACAATTCAAGCACTTCTTAAACCGTTCCGCCTTAGACAACTCGTTCATGGAGTGTTGGCTTTTGCACTTGGACCCAAACCTACACCCCTTCGGCGAAAGGAAATACTTGCATGTGTTGGCATTCCCTCCACCTTTGCCTCCACTCCCCTTTCCCGGCTTATCCCCAGCAACACCAGCTGCCTTCAATGCCAGGTTACCTGATCCACCCTTTTTGGCAACATGAGCTCCAGCCAAAGTCTCAAACTCGGCCAACAAATGTTTGTGGTAGGATTTGACCGCCTCTTCCGAGGGTCGACCATGCAACTGCAGTGCACTTTTCACCATCTCGGTTCGCCATGAAACCTCCGGCTCCTTAGAGATGACGGGCTTTGTCATTGAGGTTAGGCCTCCCACCAACACCATTGGATCCGGCAAACTCATACCAAAGTCTATGCACCTTTGATACCAGCGTCCCCACGCCCTCAATGCTGACACACCTGAGGCTGCATCCTGCACCACATGGGGATTTTGCAAGTTGCTCAACACCAGGTTGCGTTCCCCTATTCCCCCGGGCTGGTAGGTCGTGTACAATCTAAACAAGATTTGCGATGCAGCTTGATTCGCCTTACGGGCAATGATATCAGATTTCACTGTGGGGTCCAGGGCATCCAAAAGCATTGCGCATGCACGCGCATTCACTCGCCCCCACTTGCCTTCTGTAAGCTCTGGCCTCTCGTCAGGCTCAAGCGTCAAGCGCTCGATGGGGGATGCGACGACCCACTTATCGTACGCATCTTTGCTTACCTGAACTACCCCTGACCACCAAAGTTGAGAAGAATCCGAAAAGTCACTCATCAAGCCCGCAATGAGCTGCAACCAATCCTGAAAGTCCAACGAGCCTCCAGCTGGATCGGGTGGGGCTAGTCTGGGAAAGGTTGTAATGCCCGTTTTCACCGTTTCCGGGGCATCCTCCTTCCTGCTACTGCTAAGGTGCTGGGCTTGCAAAGTTTGCAGTTGCTGCACTCCCAACAATACGGCATCAAGTACGGTGTTACCTGATGTGGGAGGGCCTTGGGTTCCCCCCGGCGACACACTGGCTGCTCCTACTGGCGCCGTGCTGGCCTGAGCAGCTGAAGCCTGGGGAATTGGGGCACTAGCGGCAGCAACTGACTGGAAACCAGAGCCCGAAGCCCTGATCTGGCCCAAACCCGGGTTTTCGGCTCGAGAATGGGGGTCTGGGCCAGAAGAGGTGGAATCCCCTTGCACACCCGATAATGCGCTGCTTGGCTGCCCAACCCTTCCGGGTGGCGCTGCATTGCTAGGTAACCTTTGGGAACCTTGCAACCCCGACCAAAAGTTGGACCATAACCCTGAAGTTGCTGAAGCTGCTGTTTGAGCGGGCGCTCTCAAAGCCTCAACCGCCTGCGCTGCAGCATCATGCACCTGATACGCTATTGGAGTGCGCACTTGCGCATCCTGAAGGGGTGGCCTGGGAACCTCAGCAAGGGGTGTCGTTGGAGCCATTGGGGCACTACTGGTCATTGCCACTTCTCTCCTTACCTGTTCCCTAAGAGCTTGTTCCCTTTGGGCCGCCTCCTCCAGTTGCCTCCGCATCCTCTGTATTTCCAAGTCCTGAGCCTGCGCCCGTTGATCAAACCCCGCTAGCTGCCTTGCAACCTCAGCTTGAATCGCTTCTTGGGGCAGGGACGATGAGTCTGTTCTCGATGGGGGTTTTTCGGGCAGGCTACCGTAAAGTAAGGGGGCCCTCTGTTCTAAAGCTTGCATGCGCTGCAACATGTCCGCGCTCAACAAGGAGCCATCCCTTCCAGGAGGCGGTGCAAAGGAAGTGGGTGTACCATGCGCTCCCAACTGTGGTGGCGAGCTACTCTGCGAACCCAAACTCCCTTCTCCCAGAGCCAATTGCCTTGGAACACCGCTGGGACTATCACGTGATTGTGATGTGATTGCTCGTGGTGGTGTGGCGTGTGTGCCTTGCGCCACTGCGGGTACCTGCACCACCTCAGTGCGCGCTACACGGAAAAAGTCCCCAACTCGCGTCATAAGCTGGAGCCCTGTACTAGGGAAGCCCTCAACCATCTCAGCTATGGTTGGCAATCCCTGTTGCGATCGTGGGGTCACAAACCCCTCCGTGGAAGCACCAGCGACTACTCTACCCCCTGGCTCTGCGTCACCACTCGCGGTACCTAACATGCCAGTGCTGGCCTCTAGCCCTGGGCTCCCGCCCGGCGCGACATTGCCGGGTATCGGCACAACCATCTGTACCTCATCACCGCCTTCAGTGGCAGTCGACACCTGTGGCATTCCCCCTGAGTCTGCGCAAACCCCAGTCTGGTCTATGCCTCCAAGTGCCCCTCCCGTAGCCATAGGTTCAAAACCCATTCCACCTGTTTGGCCATGCACAAGTGTTGGCGTTGAACCTGTCTGAATACCATCCCTCCCGGGAGGTGGGGATGGATTTGCTGTGGTGCCATAGCCCTGCCCAAGCGTTGGGCTCATAACCTGCTGGAGCGAACCAGCAGGCTGAGAGGTAGACACAAGTGGAGTAGCTAATTCCCTTGTCCCATACTCCCCAGAACCCGCCATGGCTCACTCAGTAGGCGGAGATTTTACACGCAAGCGAACAAGAAAGGAAACGTGAAGTCTGTGCTACCTTGGACATGGCACCTACAACTATGGTACATGTGTTTTGTTTAAAAGCATGCTCAAGGCTCAAACTGTGCATAGCCTAAAGAGCGACGGAAAAATGAACATGTACAACTGGCATGAGCTGCAAAGGTGGCATGCACTTCAGCAGTTCCTTTAAAGGGTACTGTATGTTTGGGTGGTTTTATGTAGGAACCTGATTTAGACACCTTAGGCCTTTATTCGGCTTCCTTATATGGATCCTACTATTTTAGGGTCATCGGCCCAGGGTTTCTTAATCAGGTTCCTACATTAGGGTCTGCTACTTGTAGCCTATCTGTCAGGGTTTTAAGGTTTCCTGTGTCATGGTCTTACAACCTAAACTTGCTTAAAAAGGTAGGTGGTATGGGACACAGGTAATGGGGGTGAAGGAGCTTCTGGTTTTGGGTTTAGGCGTTTAGGGGCTTACTCCTTTAGAGAGCTGCCCACATAACGCCGGGCGTGGCGCGTGGGCTTCAGATCTGCAGGGGCTTCTGAGTTTCGAGCAGGCGGGCTCCCCTGAACAGGTCGACGAAGCTTTGGTAATGCTACACGATTAGGGCGGGAAGCGATGTGTGTGTATATATATATATATATGTATGTATGTATATATACATATTCATATATATATATATATATATATATATATATATAGAGGCAAAAGTAGTGACATGGATTTCTGGAAGACGGGCATTGAAGAAATGGGCTACGAGTTCAAGATGCAAAATGCGTAAGATTGCGGCTACAGCATAAGACCGTATGAGTGTGTGCTCTTGCTCGCGCACTGGTGGACAGGTCTGTAGTGCTAGGAATGGCAGCATCAGCGTCCTGTAATCTGCAGTCTAGCTGTTCCTGCACACCTCTGCTGTCGCCACCTGCATGCTGATTGCCCCACGTCAGCACAGATCCATCGCCACGAACGGCAGCAAAGGCGTGGTATGAGGCGTGAACCTGCTGCACGTCCTGCAGCTGATCCTGAACATCTGTGCTGTCGCCGCCAGATTCTGCATCACCCCACGTCACAACAGATCCATCTCCAAGAATGGCAGCAAAGGCCTCGCAAGAGGCTTCAATCTGCTGCACATTCTTCAGCTGATGCTGCACAGCTGTGCTATCACCCCCAAACCGTGGATCCCCCCAGGTCACGACAGATCCATCCTCAAGAAGGGCGGCAAAGGCACTGTCGGAACCTCGGATCTCTCGCACGCGTTGTAGCTGATTCTGTACAGCAGAGCTGTCACCACCGTCACCAAGATGGCCCCATGTCACGACAGACCCGTCGCCAAGAACGGCAGCAAAGGCATTTGATGTACATTGAATCTCTTTCGCGTCGATCAGCTGCAGCCGTACGGCAGTGCTGTCACTACCATTCCTGCGATGGCCCCAAGTCACGACAGTTCCATCGCCCCGAATCGCAGCAAAAGCCCGGTATGAGGCATGGATTGTATGCACATTTCTCAGCTGATCCCTCACAGAAGTGCTGTCACCGCCAGATTCTGCATCACCCCAAGTCACAACAGACCTGTCCCTAAGAATGGCAGCAAAAGCGAAGCCTGAGGCCTCAATCTGCTGCACATTCTTCAGCTGATGCTGCACAGCCATGCTGTCACCACCTTCACCTAGGTGGGGCT